AATTTTCTAAATTAATAATATTATTTATATTTAATTTAAATAATATATAAAATATAAGTAATATTATTTATATTCAATAAAAAATATTATTAATTTAATATATAATATTATTATAATATTATGTAATATTATTTATAAATAATAATTGTTCAGTATTTTAAAAATGAACTTTTAGTATTTAATTATATAATACATATTATTTATTATAAACGGTAAACAAAAATGTTAAAAAATATCAGTCCTTTTTTATAATACAATTGCTATATTTATATTAAAAAGAAAAGTTTTTAAATTTACTTTAATTAAAAACAAACACACACAATATCCAATTTCCATAAACGTCGAAAATGTCATTATCCTCATTCCCATCGTAATCTCTTATCTTTCAATCTCGATTTAAATCCCCTTTGCCATTGAATTTCTTCTAACAAAGGAGAGTTATCAAAGATAACGAGAATCGTGTTATCGACATTCTCTCTTCCGACTTAAAGACAACAACAGAGTCGGGAGACGTCTCGTTTAATTGTCCTCGTCATTACCTGTTCTATAATGGTTACTGAACTACGAGCTACGAATTATTTTCTATTTTCTTGGAAGCGATTATTTAAATCGAATGAAAAATCGAATTATAATTGTGTTTTTATATGCTAGTTAGATTTGGTTCTATTCGAGCATCATAGAAACGGTATTTTTTTGTTCGATATTAAACGTATTGTTCGTTTTTCAGAAGATAAGACTAGAAGGTTGGCTATTTAACGTTAATTTAACCGAAAGCACCGAGTTCTCGTGAATATATACGGTGCTTGAACCGAGACGCGATCCGTATCCGTATTACGGTGCTTATGCTATCGCTTATGTCACGCAAAATAATACACATTTATCAAGTCATTATTTTCATTGCTATTTAATCACACATTTTTTATGCTTAATTTAATATAATCATTAAAAATGTATTTCACGTAACAAAAAAAAACAAATTGGGATACGCGTCTTTTTATTGTAATATAAATATATTTCAAAATTACAATAATAAATATATATTTTAAATATTTCAGTTGAAATCGCCCTAGTAGCACAAAATATTGAAAAATATTGAATACACATGTGTATTTAATATTAACAAGAGATTTAATGTCTTTTCTAAAAGACATCTAAGATCTAAAGACATTAAATCTCTTTTTAATATTAAATACACATGTATTCAATATTTTTCAATATTTTGTGCTATTAGGGTCTCTTCAAAAATTTAAAGTAACAAATATATTATTTTCTTATTTATAATAATAATTTAAAAAATTTGTCTTTTTTTCTTTATCCTTTACTATTTAGCATAAATAAACGATTCCAAACTGTAATTCTGAATGTAGAACGAGCCATTAACTTGAAGGAAAAGTAAAGTGACTCGCGGCACTCTCATTCTCACGCGTTCGCACGTTACATTGACGTAAATGCATTCCAAAGAGCCAGAGGAATCTCTCTTAGAGAACAGTACTTATATACTCTTATATATATATAGTCACGTATAGGTATACTAACTTACTTTAATAGCAGCTGACTATATCGGAAATTTGAAAGAGCATCTCGAGAATACACCTAGAGAGGAAGTGTTGGAAGTCCGAGTTGTAAAGTCACTCACCTCGAAATAACGTTCGTCATTTTGATCATCGACCATAATCGATTCGTAACACTAACTTTCTTTCATCCAATCTTTTTCTTTCTTTTGATTCGTATCTTTCTATTTTTCGCAGATACGGTGACGGCGATTGTATACGGTGCTTTCGGCTAAAGCGAAGAGCTCGCAACGTTATCGAAGTATTCTCGGAAGATCTCAACAGGTGTTACACTTACGAATCAGCCGCCATTGCTTCGTGCGAAACTCTGAACTCTACGTCCATTCTTTACCGTGAGTATCCTTCTTATAATTAGCTCTTGCTACTTTTTTTTTATCCTTTTTCTTTTTTCCACCTTTGTAATTAGTACTTACATCAACTACAAAATATTTCCTTTTTCTTTGCCCTCTCCCTTTTTTTTTATTACAAATTAATTTGAAATATATGACGTTAGAAATTTTTTATCTTTAGAATAATGCAATATGATATTTTTATGTTTTTTATTTTACATTAAATATTTCTCTGTGCATTCGGAGAAAGGTTAATGTAAAAAAAAAATGATTTAAAATTAACAAAAAAATAATTATAATAGAGGGTAGAGAGGGTAATCGGAAGATAAGCAAGAAGCAAAATCGAATAGGAAGACTTCGGTCGTTCATGGTAGGCAATTAATTAGCGTTAATTAGCATTAATGAGGAAAAGGAGGAACCAAACAATGAACGAACGCCGATGGCGCTCTCGACGACGAGATTTCTTATGCATTGCAATAAACGAATCCCCGTGAACGCACGCAATCGCACGGTCAAACACGCGTATAATTTTCTTACTTGTGTCCCCCATCACGCGACTCCTTTTAACGTTTACGAATTGTATGCATGAATGTGTGTAAGTATGTATGTATATATGTATGTATGTTGCGTGTGCGTATCGTCGTTCATCGTTATCGTCCTCTCGTGTATTTCTCACGCGTGTGTGCACGTCAATTAAAATATCTACCCAATAGGCATTAAGAGATGTGTACTCGTGCATTTATAGAATCGATTCATCAACAAACAACAAAAAGTTTCTATGTTTGTATTAATGATTGAAGAGGTGCTCGTTAAATTTATATATTAACTAACTTGAACGTTTGTGAATAATTAATGATTATAACTTAGGACATAGTAATATATAATTGTATTTATATTTTTTTAGACATGCTTTAATATTATTATTAAGCTTTAATAATATTTACTTATTAATATTATTAATATTAATTATAATTGCTATTAACAATAATTGCATGCTTTAATAATTAATATTATTATTAATATTATAATTATTATTATTATTATTATTATTATTATATTTATATATTATTAGTAATTTTTAGAAATTATTAATTAAGTACAATATAATGACAAATTATAATATTGATTTACAATTTCTAATTATATATTTTGACGAACTATAATATAAATTCCATCAATCTTTCTATGAAGAATTATTTCGTAGAAATGAAATATGCTTAAAATAAAAAAATACTAAATTATTATTGGTAATGTTATACGCATTCGTGGAATGTTTCCGATGCGATTCGTCATGCGACAAAAATAAAAAAAAAATAAAAAGATAAAAATGTAGAATAAGAAGAAGGACCGAAGTTGGAATAAGTTTTACACCTGTTCTTATCGAATCGACACGCTCGTCGAACACAACACCACGTTGGCAAGTTTGCCATTGCTGCTGTTTGGTATGGCATGTCTCCTCGTAGTTTCGATCTTCATGGTTCGATGCGTGTCCTCGATCGTAGAAATTCTCTTCGGATCTTCGATCCATTCGCGCGAAAACGAGTAGAAAGAGAAAGAGACTTCGATGCTTGGTTCGACGTGTACCACTAACGCGACGATTCATTCCGCTCGCATTTCTATATTGAGATTTGTCGAGCTGTGAGTTCTTTTCAACGGAAGTTGACACGTGCATCGAATCCCACAGGTTTGCCCTACCCCTTTTTCTTCTTCTTCTTTTTCTCCTCTTTCTCCATCTACTTCTTCTTCTTCTCCTCCTTCTCCTCCTTCTTCTTCTTCCGTGTTCTTCATTCATTCTGACAGACGAGACAATAGAATTGTTCGGTGAGCCAAGAAAATCGAGTTTAACCTTTGCACTTGCACCATTGTCAACTTCTAGTTTATTCCTATTTAAGAGATCTCTTTATTTCCATTAGATTGGGACAAAAATAATTATGTTTCGTACTTTTATTTAATTTAATTTGACATCGTTGATTTGGTTAATTACTTGTTATCTGTTAATACGTTATTTTTCAAAATCAAACATTGATTTTAATTTATATTATCATATCAATTTTTTTTAATATTTCATAAAGTTATATTCTATAAAAATTGGAACGATTTAATTGGTTTCTTTTGATTATTATCATATTTATGATAATTTACTATTTATCTCTTTCACACTATTTCTTTACCTCGCTTAATTGATTCAACTGATTAAAATAAATGAATAAACATTAGACAGTTGTGTATGTTATTAACTCGTATAGCACGTGTTACAATTCGTAATAATATTCTAAAATCTATGTGGAATTTTGTTCATTCAACATTAAAAAAAGAAACAATTCCTTTTTTTTTTGTTTAATAGCTAGTAACAAAAAGTAGAAAAATGTATGAGAGGAATAAAGATACAAAGATAGGACGATCAGGTACCAACAAATATAATAAATTTTCGATAAACGATGGAGAGTAGGAATACAAAAGGATTAGGAAAAAGGGTACATTACAAACTGACCAGAAACCTTTTTCTTTTTTTTTTTACTTTCTTCTTTTCCTAAATAAACCTGAGAGACGCTTGAACATGTTCCAACAGGAATGAAAGAAGAGTTTTCGGAAAACAACGAATACGTAGATCCCCACTTTCACCCTCACCCCCTCCGTCAAAGGACCACTCGCATTCTCGTTCATTCTCCGTTTGGTTCCCCCTATTTTGCACTGTTTCTTTTTTCCTATTCTTTTCTTACCTTTCTTTTTTTTTCTTTTCTTTGTCCTGTTCTTTTTTGGAGTCCAAAGCGAGGAAAGGACCGAACAACGACAGTGTCGTTTGGCAGGTATTCATTCCCTAGCGTGGGAGTGGCTGCTTCTAAAAAGTTCTCATTCTAATCGTCTCCTACCATGGACCCCTGAGATGGTCCATTACCCAACACATCCTCCAGATCAATAAAGCATACATTGTTAATTCATTTCGAACAACCCTAACGAGCTTTACCCTAGTCCTGGTCCCCTGTTCAAATTTTCGAAGACATAGAAAGTTCAATGTTTGGGGGGTCGATCGTAAATCTTCTTTGAAAAATAGCTACAGGATTAACCTAAAATTCTTACAGGCGATTATTTCAAATCTATTATTTTGTCAAGTTAAAAAATTTCAAAAGAATGAATTTTTAGAATAATATGTTAATTAATATTATGAAATTATGTATAAGAACATCTGGATTGTTAAAAATACATTTTTTTATGGGAATTTGATATTACGTGATTTAAAAGTTAAATAAAAATATGATTCGATTTTTTTTTAATTTTTATTTAAATTATTTGATGAATATTAGTCTTATAATTATCTGAAAAAAGGTAAAATTATGAACGTGCATGATCGAACGAAAAATAATGTAGCGTAGAACAAATGTGAATTATACGAGGAAAATAAATGGTCGAAGGAGTAAGTTGCGTGTTCAAGTGACTCTCTGATGCGTATCGAAGAAATAAAAGGAACAAGGTTTTTTAAAAAGAAAATAATGAAAGACAGACAGAGGTACTCTTAAGATAAGAAACAAGATTCTAATCTAGAAAGTTTTCAAAAGTTTTAGTGGAAGATATAATTACGGTAGTCGTCTCATCGAAATAATTAATTATCACCTTGTTAAAGGAAAATTAAATAAAACTTAATGAAATTAAATTTTCAAGATCCTGCGAATAGAAAAAAGATTTTTCTTCTTTCCCTTTTGAATTATCAAAATAAAAAAAAAAAAAGATGTAGTCAAATGAAAAGATTCGAAGCAGGAAGTGAAGGGAAATAAAAAAAGGAAGAAATAAAGAGAACGAGTATGTACGATCGATGAAATTACAGGGAAGATACGAAAATATCTTTTGGATGTATGAAAGAAGAAGAAGAAGGAAGGAAAAACGAACGGGGAAAAAAAGATAATTAAATAAATAAGAAACGCGCATAGCTATGTGAAAAAAAAATATTTTGTTAAAAGTTCAATGTACCCGACAAAGTTGTTCGCGTGGGACAGTAAAATGCTGAGAATAACAGTATCATGATGTATAATGATCGACTACGTAAACATATATTACGTGCTATAAAAACAGTAATGACCATAAACACATGCATTATAAAATACAATTTTTGCGACAAAAGAAAAATTAAACAATTTGCAATTGTTCCAAATAATTTTGTAAATTAAATCATCTCTTCTTGTTAAATATTCTTTCGCATGCATCCATTAGTCCTTTTTGTTTTGTTTAAATCGATAAGAGTGCGTCTCGATTCGATGAGAAACTGAGATGTCCTTCTTGTTCCTTCGCGAAGATGAAAAAGAAAAATAAGAGCCTTGAGATGAATGGAAGTTGCCGTCGTTCATGAGGACAGGAAGTTGAAGAAGCGAACGAAAAGAAAGGAGGCTTACCTGAGCACAGCTACCTGTTGCATAGCGATCTTCTTCCACGTGAGTGAATCGAATCGGTTAGCAAGGATGGAAGGAAAAAATATTTGCTACATTTTATGAACGTCAACCTCCCCACAGCAACAACAACATTGACATTCCTTTTTTTTTTTAAACTCTCCCTTTTCTTGTCCATAAATACTTTATATTACATTTGGATCTGAACATCATCGCAGAATTTCAAGGATAACATTTAAAACGTTTTCATCAATTAAAATAAAATTAAATATGTTCAACTGCGAAATACAAAATTACTGAAGCAATTTGTATTAATTTGGTCTGGATATTTTTTTATATATAATTAATTACGTTATATATACATTAACGTATCAGCATGATATCAAGATCATGTTTTAAATAATGATATTAAATGATTACATTAAATGAAAGTAAATTCTTTTCAATAAAAAATCACTGAAGAAATCTATATTTTGTGAAGAAAGCCGGTTCCTTTGAAAGAAGCAAATCGATGACATCGAAGACACGATCCTAACCAACATGAAGACCTTCTCAGATTACGTAAAAAAAAAAAAAAAAAGAAAGAAGCCTGTAACTTGTCCCAAGGAATCCCGCAAAAGCTCAGAAAAGTGCGCGTCTTCTCCTGTTTGCATCTAACGAAAATAACAACACCCCTTAAAATATCCTGATGGTTAGTTGGTTGGTTGTGTTATGGTAAGAAACGATCGACCCCTTACGAGGAAAACGTCGTATGGAATTTCAGCTATTTCCTGTTCGGAGGGTTAGCTCTTATTGTATCCAAAAAAGAGAACGATAGTTGTTACTGAACTGGACACTAAAAGAGATGTGTTAAATTAAAAGAAGGAAGGGGGATTTATTCTAAAATCTATTCTTCTCATTTATATGTATAATAATAAGATATCTGGCTTCTCTTCCTCAATTTTTGTCGTCCTAAGAGCGTCATGAGAACTCGTATAGGGATTGAGATTCCAAACGATCACGTCCACCTGGCATTATGCACCCATAGATGGATTTGTAGCTGCGCTATTTGTCCTGGATTTCTTTCTCTCTCACTCTCTCTTTCCTTTTTCTTGTTTTCTTTCTTTTTCTCTTTCTCTTGGATCGTTCCGACTGAGGAAGAAAAAGAAGAAAAAAGAAAGAGAAGAAGCAGGAGGAGAGGTCGTTAGGATCAGCAGGTGGTCGTCTGGAAAATTGGACCGGTGTTTGCTCGATATACCAGTCATTTCGCTTACGAGCAGACTCGTTCGGTGTACCCTCAGGAAAAGGATCTTTTTGATCTTCTAGAGATTCCTTTTTTGTATATACGCACACCGCGCGCATACCGATGAAAACGGTATCGACCTCCTTGCAATTTCTATCGAAATACCTCCCATTCGCTTAAATTATTTTTTTTGTTTTATGTGATTTCCAGGTACCAAGGAAGTCGGCGGTGCACCAATTAGAAACGAATATTGTCCTATAGTAGGAGGATATCATTTTAAATACAGTCTTAACGATGATTCATCCATATCAACCGAATGCAACTCGTTCTTCTCGAATCTTCATAACTGTCCTGATGGATCTGTCTTGCATTTAAAATTCAATGATTGCACCTTTGAGTCACGTGGTAAGAAAATCACTTCAAAGATATTGATCATTGTGTATTCGTTGGGTATACAAACGAATTGACCGATACATTTTTACGTAGAATTGAGCTTCAACTGTTTGGGTAGCTGGCCAGGTGGTCCTTATGGTTCAACTTATATTGCCTTGGTAGAAAATGATGCTATAAAAGAAAATCGTCCTCAGTATCGTTGTGGCGTAAGTATATCAACAAAATTAATATGATATAAAATTTCAAAAGAAAATTAAAATAAATCATTGTTACAGTTGTTCTATGTTGATTACAAAAAAGGAAGAACGTACATGGCCTTCAGTAGTGATTCCAGTTGTACAAAAGGTTTAGCCAATTCTACGAGCGGATTTGAGACATTTGTTCTAAGCAAAATGGCTAATCAAAAGCCGATACCAAATTATGTGAAAACTCATGTAGCAACGTTAGTATCCATATACGATAATATGTATTCGCGTGAGTGTGTGGGTGTATATATGTGTGTATTAAAGGGTGGTACAGTCTATAGCATAATAAATTCCTTTGTTTCAGGTTTCCAAAGTGGGCACAGGGATTGTGGGAAGAGTCCCTCATCGTAAATGGTACAATGACTTTCACCGATCTCAACGGATATAACAGTTACACTTTCGTTACGGTTGAATCAAACGATGAAACTGGACGTTACGTAGTCTATTCAAAGGATCATTGGTAAATTTTCGATTTTTCGTTTACTAATGACAGTCATCATTTTCGAACAATCAAATATGTTTTACATTTTGTATTTTTTAGTGAGAATGAGGCCTACGTATGCTTGATGATGAGACAACGCAGTGAAAACGTATTAGAATTCACGATAGGTAATTAAAAAGTTTTTATAAAAATATATGAACATATTTAAAAAAATAACATCACGTTTAAATATTAAATAAATTTGATAGGGATGGTAATGAATCCAGGTTATCAAGATTATTTGTGTGACGATTCAAACTTCGATAAACCAGTGTGGATGACTCAAGCACGTAAGTGTTTTTTTATATTAAAAATTATTGTAATATATTCCAAATGTTATGAATGTTACAAGAAATATTTTTGAAATTGTTATTAGGTATTGAACGAATAGTAGAATCACCTTGTCCAATAACTGGACAATACACGGGTAAGATAACCGATTTATCGGGCATGTGTGCAGAGTTGAGTAGCAATTGCAATACTCGAGAAATAATGTATTATAAAGTTTATGACTGTGAGTCCGAGGAACTCTATGAAGGTATATTTTTAACAATCTAATGTTCATATTTAAAATAAAAAAATTAAACGCGCGCGCGTTTCTAAAACTTTTTATATTTTCAGAACGGACGTATTTGTGCTTGGGACAGTGGGAAGAGAAAGGTGTAATGTACACCTACACGATGAGAAACGACACAGGTACAAAAGAGTGTTTTGTCGGCTTGATCGTTAATGACGAGGAAATTTATATTAAGGAAGCAGGTGATCATTGTATCAGAGATATAGATCCTAAGGAGCAAGGAATGAGATTGTACAAAAAAGGTTAATTATAATTACATCTTTATTAATTAAATTAATAATTTGGATGAATTTTTTTTTAATTTCTCATGGTTTAATTATTTTTAGGACAATGTTATGGAAATTCTCCTAGTCCTGCACCAACACCAATGAAACCTCGTAATCCTATAAGTGTGTCGACAACTCCACGATCCAGATTTTCGGGTAAAAAATAATTGAATATACGTTTATAAATGAAAAATATTATATTTGTTATATCAAATTTATTTCTAATATTTTTTTTTAATAGGTGGAACCACGAGAAGACCAGGAGGAGGTGCTCCATCTTCCGCATTATCGAGAAATCTTCAAAATAATGCTTTAGTTGTTGTAATGGTACTTGCCGTATTTCTTAGAATATTTAATTTTACGTAGTGGACGAACGATATTTTTAGTTTAGGATAATGCAAGTAGATAACGAAACTCTATATTTATAAGCTCGATGAACGTTTTATTCTCGACAAATTAAATAAGAAATCGTTTATAGGTAGAGAATTGCAATATTTAATATGACACTATAAATATTTAAATATACGATAACGTGTTTTCGTATAAAGTGTAGAAAGTTTACAATACATTTTATATCAAATTATACTTTAATTACAAGACTAAATCAAAGTGCACCATATGATCTTCGTTAGAAGTTCGACAAGTGTACAAAAACTCGAATAACATTACTGAAATTTTATAGATAGAACGAGTCAAGAAAGTATTTTACGTAAAACAAGAAAAATACAATAACTATCTTTTACTGTAATATAATAACAAAATTGATCAATTTTTTCTTAGATCAAATCATTTTATAAGATACAAATCATTTTCGTCGGCTAAGTATTGTAAATTATCGAGAAGACCCAAAGATCTTGTAATCTTTTTTTTATTACTTGATTCCTGATATAAACCAATATATTTTATGCGAGGCAAGAATTTAATCTATTTGAACATAGTACATATAACAAAGTTATTTATATATAATAAGCTATTTCTTTATATTTCATATTCCAAATTTTCTTTGATCAGTTTATATGTGTCATAATAATTGAATTTATACAAAAAACAAACTTTAACGATACACAATTTTATGATTAAAAAAAAAATATATTTACTCGCAGACATAATATAGAAACATGAGCAACGATAAGACTGATATATACCTTTGACTTTTATATAATTCAAGAGTATTTTTTTAAGAACAAACTTATGATCATAAAATATTTCAAAACTATATCCGTAGAATATACAAAACAAATAATAGAAAATTTATGAAATAGTAATTCTTTCAAAATGCTCGTTTATTCAGTTATTAAATTATATAAAAATCTATAGTCCTGTAATACAGTCTTTTAATCCATTTTGTTTGATGCTCTATTTTAAATCTTAAATATTTGGTGCAAAATATTATAAATTATATTATTCGCTAAAGTTAATAAAACTTTATGTTTGTTTTCAAATTCATTATAAGTATATTAAAAAGTTTACTTTTAAGTTTAATAGTAAATGTACATAAAGTGTGTAAAAATTATATATACTTTATTTATTAGCACGTAATAATATAATATAATATAAGGCAAAAATGCATACAAATATAAGCTGTTTGTTTTTGTAATCGCATAGTGTACATAGCAATAAAAATTTTTTTACTAATACAATAAAAACAGAAGAAATTATTACAACTAAATTATTATTGTAACCAGAATTTTAAATTTTCATTAAAATAAGTAATTTAAAAAGAAGATATATAAAAAACTAAATAAATAAGTAGAGGTAGTTTAAATTCATCAGGTTGATCGATAAAAATATTAAAGCAGTTTACTTTCGTATGACAAAATACTTTGCTTGTATTTCAATCCACAACTATATTTATTGCTACCATTTTTTCCCATAACACGATGACATGGTATTAAATATACCACTCGATTTTTTCCAATAGCATTTGCAACCGCTCTTACAGCTTTAGGATTGTTTATCATGTGTGCGACTTCTTCATAAGATGCCGTTTTACCTATTGGTATAGAAACCAAAGCTTTCCAAACTTCTATTTGAAAGGCTGTTCCTTTTAAAAGTACCAAAATCGATTTAGTATCCTTCTCATCGCATTTTAAAGTAAATATATCTTTCATAATATTGCTTATCATTTCAGTAGAATCTTGTACTATTTGCGACAAAGGCCATTCATTTTCTAAATCTTTCACTGCATCTGCGTCATCTTTAACGACAAATGTAAAATGCAGTATAGCTTTATCGGTATCGGTTAAACCTATGATACATCTTCCAAAAGGTGCATCATAAAAATCATAATAAATGATGAACTTTTCATGATTTACTTTGTATGTCTCAGAAGACATTGTTTGAAAGGTAATCATGATTAAATAATTTTTATATAACTTTTCAAATTAGTATTTCAACTATTTTACACAAATTAGATTTTTTAGGTTATTTCAAACACAATGGGATAACTCTTGATTAAATTATCAATATATTTTTAAAATGATAATATATATTTATATACCTTTTCTTATTTATACCAAATGCTTACTACAAAAATAATATAATAACGAAATTCAACGTATTTTCTTCTGTCTTTCTTTCTGTTAGCCGGTATAAATATGTTTATACTTATCCATATACATTAGACACACTTATACACACTTAGCAATAATATCAACCTAACATCAGTACTAACCTACCCTTAGATACTAACCTAACGTGTATACTCGGTAGTACGTAAGGCTAGGGATCCTGTAGGAGGGATGCGCAATTCATATTCAGCTCATGTACCATTGGCTGAAAATTTTGGGGGACCGCTTGAATTTATAATAATTTTTTCGTGTAACCTATTCTATTTTAATATAAATTTTTAATTATCATTAAATATAGTTCATTTTTTTCTGTATTTGATGCAATTCATTATTTCATAATTATTTCAATGTTTGAATCATTCGCGCGCAAAATCGAGTTCCGGTCCCCCAGCAATGTACATGGCGCATCCCTCCTATAGGATCCCTACGTAAGGCTGTAACCACGTGTTTTATCGGATTTGTTTATTTTTTTTATTGATATTAAAAGATGCCGAATTATTGTCCATTGTGTGAAAGAAAAGGAATTAAAAGCAAAATAAAACTTTTCCAAATTAACTTGGAAGAGATTGTATTAGCCTGCGAAGTAGAAGAAGTATGTTGTTTTCTACTAATGTTAAAATATATATAACCTTAAACTTGAATGTATTAGGTTGAGTAAAACGTTCGTTCATATTTCTTCACAAAAATATATAAAGTTTTGTTATTTTAATATTAAATTTTCCTTATCAATGATATATGTGCCGCCTTATAATTTAAAATAACGAACCAACGTTGATGTAAATAAATTTATTTTCTCAACTTAATACAAAACGTTTAAGGTTATATAATGTATACATATATGAAAGATTTTATAGTATTTTAAAAATTTATTATATTTTCAGTGTACGTGGCCATTTGGTTACGAAGACTTTAAATTCTTTCCTCGAAAAGTTGGAGAAGTGTTTTCATACTATTGGAATAATTACGATATAAAAACGGAGAATAATTTGGTTCCAGCACCTCTAGAATTATCCTTATATTCTCCACCGGAAACTCCTGTTATCGATACTTTAAAGGATTTAACAGAAATACTCTCCCCTCAGAGTACAACTTCTACCGGTACTATAAACAATAATATCTATTCTACTACACCAGTTCCTTATGGCTTAGATCATGATGATTGCTGTTTAAAGTACGATAAATTGAAAAACATTGATAATAAATCTGAAAATTGTAATATACATAAACAAAGTCCTGAGATAGACGAAACTATTCATGAAGATGATCAAAAACAATCCTGTTATAAAAATACAGTCGATGTAATTGACGAAGAAGCAAAAATTTCTAATGTAATAGATAATGCATTTAATTCAGATATTATTTGCGAATCTAATATAGAAAATATTAATAATATTAACACTAATACAGTGGAAACTAAATCAAGTAATTGTAAAAATGCAGAAACATTTTTAATAGAAGATAAAAAGGAAGACAACTATAATATAAATAGTCATACTAATATTGAGTCTTCTAATTCTGTATTAGACTCAGAAACTCAGATAAATACATTTACTGAGAAGAATACTACACCTTCTAAATTGCAAGTAACTAATGTAGAAGTAAATGGATTACCTGTAACTATCTCATACAAAGTACCTACATTACCGTTTAATTCTAACACAGTACTTAATACCAATGCAAATTCTATTACACTACAAAAAGACACCACCTCTCAATCAATAAGCATAAGTTCTCCTGTAACTTTAATTAATAAGACTTCTAAATCGCTTGATAAAAATAAAAAAGTTATACTTCAAAGTAAAAAACATACAAAATTTAGTTTTAGCATTCTTAAAAAGAAACCAAATAATGTCAATAATGTTAAATGTGCAACTAAAAATATTGTTAACAATCAAGATATTGTTGCCGATCGAATTCAAAAACAAAATTCACCAGTTAAAACTTTAAAATCTTCTGTAGACGTCGACAATAATATGGAAACAAAACTTGCTCAAAATAATGTTGACTTTAACATCGATGAGAATAAGAAAACAGAAATTATCAAAAATAATATTGACGAGAGTGTTCATGAAAATATGAAAGCAGAATTTGCCAAAAATGATGACAAGAACGTTAATAATTTGGATATAGAAGATGACTTGAATATAGACGGTATATTAAACGAATTTCTAGAAGGTAAAAATACTAAAAAAGAAAATGAAAATAATGAAATAAATTATGATGAAGATTGGATTCAATCTTTGCTTATTTAGTTTTTACTTTTATGGATTATTAGAATTAGTATATAAAGTTGTGATACTTCTTAATATAAAAAAAAAGTTATGTAAAATAAATATTTTTTAGCTGATAAATATACAAAGACAAATAAATTAAGTTTTGGTTAGACGACATAATTTATTCTTTAGAAGATGTTAAAATAACTATACAGTATTATTATGTTTATAAATAAATAAATAAAACAAAAGAAAAAGCTGTGAAATAAATATTTTTGAAATTATTTCTAAATTCTTTAATTTATTTATCAAAATAATAAGTAACTTTAAAGAAAACAGAAAATATTATTTATACACTAAAATATTTTATTATGTTATATTAAAATATAAATATATATATACTATATATTTTAATAGTATTATTTATATAAAGATCTTAGATTTGATTAGGGCGGTATATTTATGTATTGAACAGGTGTCATCTTTTTTGAGGTTAATGAGAGTACGATCGTAAAAAAAAAAAACAAATAATACGTATACAAATGGTTTGAAGTTTAGCGGGCATAAAATAAATGTTTCGATAAGATTGATGGAGGTTGCTTAGAAGATAATATTATTGAGATAAACGATTTATCAATCGTAGTGTGATATTGCGTGTAATAAAAATCAGTACGAAATAACAATTTAATGCTCTAACTATATTCTTAATCATATACTTATAAAAATATATACAAAGATATTGATCCTTAGTGATAGTATAAATATTAACATTAAATAATTCATTAATTAATAGATGTTTATTCGTGATAAATAAATATTTGCTTCGATAGTAGATAAAATATATTTTTTTGTTCTTACCCAACATATCATCGACAAACAAAAAGACTTATAGAATTATTTCTTCAATCAACGAAACAAATATTAATCATGTCTGTTAAAAATTTGATTAATACCGGCAATGCTACATTGGATGAAAAAATCAACGAATGGTTACAATGGAATCAGGTTTTTTATTTAATAAATTTAATATTTATATAATTTCACTCGTTACAATTATTTATAATAATTCATTTTTATGATATATTTAGAATCCAGTAGCTGAAAAAGAAGTTGAGAGTATTATTAAAAATGTCGACATCCAAGTATTGTCTAATCTTTTTCTTAAAAGATTAGAATTTGGTACTGCTGGTCTTCGAGGTCGAATGGGTCCAGGATATAGTCAAATGAATGATTTAGTTATTATACAAACGGGTCAAGGATTAACTAAATATTTACTCGACACTATGCCTAATTTATTACAACAAGGTGTTATAATAGGATATGATGGTCGACATAATAGTAAAAGGTTTATAAATAATGTAATATATAAATATGTATTTAAACATTTCAAATATTACACGTTGTTTAACAAAATAATCATTTATATTATTTTAGATTCGCAGAATTGACAACTGCAATTTTTATAGCTAATAATATTAAAGTTTATTTATTTTCTCAAATTTGTCCAACACCATTTATACCTTATGGAGTATTACAATATAAATGTGCAGCTGGAATAATGATAACTGCGTCTCATAATCCAAAGGATGATAATGGTTATAAAGTTTATTGGGATAATGGTGCGCAAATTGTATCACCTCATGACAAAGAAATTCAGAAATATATTTTGAAGAATTTGGAACCATCCAAATCGTCGTGGGATGTATCTAAAATATATGAATGTCATTTATACAAAGATCCGTTGAATGATATTATGCAATCTTATTTTGAAAAAATGAAAGAAAGTGTTCTATATCCTGAAGTTAATAAGAATACTATTTTAAAATTTACTTATACTGCTATGCACGGTGTTGGACACAATTACATGACCGCAGCATTTAATACTGTAAAACTTAAGGTATTTATAACTACTTAAAACTATAAAGAGAAAAGATGAAAAATAAATTATTATAATTATCTTCTTTATTATATCATAGCCATTTATAGCCGTTGAAGAACAAAAATTACCAGATCCAGAATTTCCAACAGTTAAATTTCCAAATCCAGAAGAAGGAAAGAGTGCTCTTGATTTAAGTATTAAAACTGCAAATCAATATGCGTCTTCTATTATTCTTGCCAATGATCCTGATGCTGATCGTCTTGCTTGTGCAACAAAAACAAAAAGGTAAAGAAATAATTTAGAAATTAATTTTTGTTAGTCTTTGAACAATGGAAAAATATCTTCTTCTTTTATTACAGCGGAGAGTGGCATATATTTACTGGCAATGAGTTGGGTGCATTATTGGCTTGGTGGATGTTACATATACACAAAGTACAATATCCGGATGCCAACATTGCTAACGTTTATATGCTTTCGTCCACAGTTTCAAGCAAAATCTTAGCTTCAATGGCTAAAAAAGAAGGTTTCAACTTCGAGGTTTGTATTTCACAAAAAAAGAACAAAAAATAATTTATATTTAAATTATAATTTAAAAAATAATATTACAATAGTTTAATAAATTATTTTGTTCTTAATATTTGAAGGAAACTTTAACAGGATTTAAATGGATGGGTAATAGAACCATAGACTTGATAAAAAATGGTAAAGATGTTTTATTTGCATTCGAAGAAGCTATTGGTTTTATGTGTGGTTCTGTTGTACCGGATAAAGATGGTATTAGTGCTGGTGCATACGTAGCTCAAATGGCAACTTATTTAGAAACCATAGGCCTTTCTCTCTATGATAAATTGGAAGAAATATATAACACGTACGATATATATATTCTTTCAATCACAAATAATTGTTTCGAAATATAAAAAGAAATATAAAACACAAAAACTAATTACATTTATTTAAACAGATATGGACGGCATATCTCAGAAAATTCTTATTGGATTTGCCATGATTCAGATACAATTAAAGCAATATTTGAACGTTTGAGAAATTATAATGGAAATAAAAATATGGTAAGTATATCTTAATTATACACTGTGAGGACAAAAAAATTCTTATTTTAATTTCATATTCATTATTAAGCATATTTTATTTAAATCGTATTATACTTTATATAGTTACTTTCCTATTTGCTTAGTCATTCATTCAGCACACATATATGTAGGAAGGTTTATAGTAGAATGTAGTTAACATTATATGGCCACAAGGTCATCAAGCTATGCACACAGAAATGCATGTTGTAGTAGAAAATGACTAATATTCTCACACTAGTTTAACAATTACTTAGGCTTGTGTATGTGCTCAGTAATTATAGTTCCACCAATTTGGTTTGTGTAGTGAAACAATTGTGATTCTTAATATGTTATGAAGGCGTTATTGTTAAAATATTATTGCACACCTAAATCTTTTATGTAGATTTGGAAAATTTCAGAAAAAAATATACATATATATATGTATATATAATACTAGAAAAAATTTGAAAGGATTATCATAACGATGTTTATTTATATAGTATAGTTTTTTATTTCTTACGTAGACAAAATCTTATGTAATTGTTTAAAAAGAAATAATTACACGCACAGATGTTTTATCTTGTTAAAGTGTATTATTTTATACACTATATTTCTTTTTATAATTATTTTTTACTCTTACATTAGTGTTATTATAAATAATGAACTTTATTTATTATATAATGAATTAACATTTACTTTGTGTATATTACATATTTTTGCATAATTTAGTTAACACATACTAAAACAATATCTTATTTTCGTAAGTACATTAGTATAAAGCGTAATAGAAATGTCACAAAAAGTTATGTGGGTAGACAAATTGGTGGAAATATTTCTTATATTGTTGACACTTTTGCCTTTCTTCTTTTTTGCTATGCTTACTGCACCACTTTTACAATCTCTTTATTGTCTCACACCATTTTTGAAGGAATTATAGGTATAAAAGCAAATCATATGTGAGTAAAATAAAATTATCTTGTGAAATCATTTATACATAAAAAAAGAGTATTCATATATAATTGAATTTATATTTGCATCTTTATTTATTCAATTTTTGCATACAAATGTTTCTGTATATTTTCAGTATCCAACGAATATTCTCGATGGAAAATACTTAATAGTCGGTGTTCGTGATTTAACTACGGGTTATGATAATACTAAACCGGGAAATAAAGCTATTTTACCTACCTCCAAATCCAGTCAAATGATTACATTTACATTCGACAATGGTTTAGTTACTACCTTAAGAACTAGCGGTACAGAGCCAAAAATTAAATATTACTGCGAATTATGTGCATCTCGGGAAGAACAGTAAGTATTTTTTATCAATTACAATAACTTCAAAAATTACTTTATTTAAATGTAAACGTTTTTTTCTTTTAGAGATGTAAACAAATTGAAATACATACTTAACGAGATGGTTTCTGCTATCGTAGCAGAGTTCCTTCAACCTGAATTTAATGCTCTTATACCACGTGGTACGTAGATCAAAGTAAAAATTATCATGACAATATAAATTACATGATAATAATAAGAAAAACAAAATGAAAACAACGTTTTGGATACCTAAAAAGAAATTAGACTACAATTTATCATTATTATTTTATAAGCATGAAGTTCTTGCAAAGGTAAAAATATAGTTTTTAAAAATTTTGTTAAGTAATTTTAAAGTACAAGTGTAATATTATAATTCATTGATAATCTTTTTAATTTAAAATAAGGCTTTTATAAAAAAAAATTCTTCTAAAGAAATAATGTATCTATAAACTCTTACAAATTTTATAATTTTTTTTTACAAAATATGAGAATAGTATAAACTTAATTATAGAATGGAGCTGTATTTCTGACCAAAGTTCAATAATAAATGTAATAAAAGTTGTACCTTTAAGGGCGAATTGTTATTATCTGTATCAAGACTTCTTAAAACCCTCAAGTGAGTTTATGAAAATGAAAGAGAAGAAAATTTTTATTTAGATAAAGGGAGTCGTTTTGACAGATTGGAGAGATGGGTATAAAATGATTATAGGAAGACCTACACATTGTACGAATTTAGCAGCTGTGTGAATGCCATCCTTAATTACAACTTTCTATGCAAGGTATATTTGCTCCATTGATTGAAAGAGATATGTCTTCATTAAGTAAAGTTGAACATAAAAATACTAGTCCTGTTGGCACATTCATGGTGATATTATAAAAACATGGACTAGAAAGAATTATATGCTTAATAAGTAGAACACCTTTATTTCTTCCGAATACGAAGATGATACCTGAAACACTCTGATGTAACTTTTAGTCCTATAATTTGTTGCGACTTTATATACAAATACTTCACCACACTAGATAGGGTATATTAAATAACGAATATATGCACATATATACAAACAATATTTATTAACTCATTATTAAAATTACTGAGAAGCTTTTAAATTTTATTGAAGGATGCAATATCCACAGATTGCACTAACTCCTTAAAGTCCTGAATTTGTTCCACCAGTAAATCAACGGAAACTTTTTCATCCTCTATTACACACATTATTTGCAACTTATCTATTCCATACCCAACTGCTACAAGTTTAGCTAAAAATATATAAGAAATTATATAATTTATACACATACACTTTGTACATACATGTGGATAAAAATATGATTTTTATTGTTAAGAAAAAAAAGTGAAGAACTTACAAGCACCCCAAACAAGACCATCCATCTTGATCGACCTAACAGCTTCTTCCATTTTTGCCATATCCGTTTCGTCTCCCCACGGTTTCACGTCAAGAACAATACTAGATTTAGCAATGACAGCAGGTTTCTTAGATTTCTTTTCGGCATAAGCCTTTAATCTTTCTTCCCTGATCTTAGCTGCTTCTGTACTCTCCTCTTCATCTGATGCAAACAAGTCAATGTCGTCATCTGCAGCATCAGCTGAAGGAGTAGTAGCTTGTGAAGATTGACTATTGGCTAATACAGCAGGAGCCTTTTTTTCTCCTGGTAGTGTTGTAAAGTCATACGACTTCATATGGATGTACCATCTTAGTACATGGGGATTGGAAGAATTGGGTTCTTTTCCCAAAGCCTCGATGACAGCAACATCGGCTTGAGATGGTTGCCATCTAAAATTTAGATCAAATAAATCAATTCCACTCAATCATTTTTTGCAAAAATAGTTATTTAATATTATCAATGAATTTGACGGCAAGAGGGGTCAGGCAGGGGTGCCCAATGAGTCCGATGCTCTTCAACCTACTGATAGCGGATTTAGAGGAGGAATTGATGAAAGGAAGATGGGGTGGGGTAAGGGTGAGAGGGAAGAGGATTGGTTCGTTAGCATATGCAGATGATGTGGTTTTGTTGGCGGAAAAAGAAGAGGAAATAGAGAGTATGCTGAGGAGAATGGAGGAATATTGTGATAGGAAGAAATTGGAGGTCAATGTGGAGAAGACGAAGATAGTGAGATTTAGGAGAGGAGGAGGAAGAAATAGAGGGAGGAAGAAGTGGAGGTTTGGAACGGGTGGAGGGGGAAGGGAGGAAGGGAGAAGTGAGGGAGAGGGTAGTGTTAAGATAGGTTAAGGATATAATTGTAAAAGGAGTGTAACCCTTCGGGGAAACAGTAAATAAATCTATTTATCTATCTATCTATTATCAATGAATTTTGCTTAGGTATGCGCATTTTTATTTTGAGAAATACAATGAATCTAAAAATAGGCCTAAATGATCATTTCAACGAAGGATTCTTAAAAAGTATGATATAATAATAAAAATGTATGTTAGAACATTTACATATACTGGCACATATGTGCTGGATACATGTACATCTGGAATCAAGATAATTATGTTAACTAGTCAAAAATTGACCTCTTAGTGTCATAATCATATAACTCTCCCAATAAGGCCTATTTCCCAGTCAATAACGATAAAGGAAATAATTAAATAATTACGTTCGATCATTAATAAAATTAATTTCAAGAACGATTCTATCGTAAGTTGTTCATCGAAGGTTGTACTATGATAAGAGAAGAAAAGAAAGAAGGATAGGTGTCTTTACAATGCCGACAAGAGTAAAAGCACGTGTACCGGGAACACGGGATTAAATTTTCTTACTATGGATGAACTACAACTTACCCTTCGATGTAACTACGATCGGCAAGATAAGCATTTAAATCCTTAACGCCCTTTTCAGTCTTCAAGTCACCGATAGCCATGACGGAAGAGTATTTTATGTATAAATATTTCCACGGATTCAATCCTACCAAAATCCCCTTTCTCTACTTGCCGGAAGAGAGAGCTGCATGCAGCCATCAAATCTTGCACTCCTATACGGGATTAAAGATGTGACGTTGTTCCGGTTTATATTAAACCCGCGATAACCAAATATTCTTCAACTTACACACAACCATTTACATTGAGATTATTTTAACGATAGACTCTTCCAATCGTGTATACGCATGTCAATGAACGAATCACTTCTTACTCTTCTCATTGGATGATTTTATCAATGTAAAATTAATCATTCAATGTCCACGTGACTTATTTCTAACTCACCTAAATACGTAGTAATTTGTAGCAGAGATTATCAAGCTGTAACATTTTTACGACTAGAATAAATATTTCCATAAATTTATAGAAATACTCTACGCATAATATTGCCAAATTAATTATTCAATTCATTTTTGTTAATTGCACGTTCGGAAATGTTTAGTTTTTCTCAAATTTCTGCGCCTCCCAAATTTAGTCGCACGATCTTATATGAAGTTACGAACCACACTTTAAGAAGCTCAGTTTTATAGTATATTTATTCATTTTATCAATAATTATTATTATTATTAAGAAATGAGATAATAACTTAGCATTTAATACAATTTGATTTTTTATTTAGATAAGGAATAGGTATTTATGATATTTGAAATATTTACAGCATATATATATTTAAATATTTAACACTTAAATATTTAAGAAATATAAATATTGGCAGTTTTGATAAATTATTTATTTATACATTACGCATTTCGTATAGTTTAGGTATAAAAATTGAATAATAAACAAAAGAAACGATTAGACAGTTTTTAACACGTTGACTCCTACAGAAGTATGACTTGTCTTGCTATAAAGAAAGTACAATCAATGAATTTTTGATTGTTAAGACAAAATATAAAATACTATGGTAGATCTAATTATGGACAACTCTTATTAGCTTAGGCAGTTAACGTGTTAATTAACAAATGGTATCACATCCAAAGTTTTCATACATTCAATTTCTATTCATTCAGATCGCCTTCAATATATTGCAACAATTTTTTGAACGATTTTATAACTAATAATAAATCGACATTACTGAAGCACATTATGAATATAATACATTGTAGTATTTGATGCAATATTATATCAAGAATAAAATAAAGCAATATCATTATTTTTAAATTTATTAACTAGAATTTATACAACTGTTGAGAAAATAAAAGTATACCTTGCATTTATACTTAATACAAAAAAAGATATATATATATATATATATATATATATATATATATATACATATATACGTATAAGTGCAAGAAAGAATAAATGCAATACAAAAATATATTTATAATATTTTTAAGATCAATGAAATTTAAAATAATTAAAGTATATATGTGAAATTAAAATAGTTTAATACTTTAATTTTATCAAAAGTTGTAATAAATGAAATAACTTATCTTTATTAATATTAGATTGCTTGGAAAGTTCGTTCCAATTTTTAAAGAAAATTTAAGAGAGAACAACTCGTATATTAATTTATATATAAAATATATAGTACAAATATACTTTGAATTATATTTAAAAATATATGTAACGAATACATACTTATAAATCGAATTTTACATTTTATAAAACGAATTTTCATTTGGGTAATCCAATATTTCAGAAAAGCTTTTCTTAAAATAATTATCCTATGAACAAACATTGCAATAGTGACAATTTAGCTTCCAAAAAAAACCTTTCTTATATAGAGTTAATAAAGTAACAATAGCAAAGTTATAATAGTGATAAATACGATTTTTTTTTTTTATAATACAAAAAGAAATAGTTCAGCTAATAAACCCTTTCGCTACGAAGAACGTATATATAAATGCGCGCTCAAATAATTGCAGCTTGCTTAAGAAAACTGTACAATAATAAAAATAAATGTAATGTTTTGTACCATTAAATACAATGTGTTTAAGAATACATTGTGTTATTTGTAAAAACTCTGTGCTTACTGTCAAAAACATGCTTTATGATTAACATATTCTATTCACAGAGTTTATATATAATACCTCATTAATTATTTAAGCATAGCACAGCGAAAGGGTTAAGTTTGTACTTATCTGACATTATTAGAAATATACAGCTTACTACTTTTTCATCTTCTTTTTCAAAAGAGCTTTTCGTTTCTTTTCTAACGCTTCCATACGAATATCTTCTAAATCTTCCTGCATACCTATTTTCGTAGATATATGTTCTTCTCTAAGTTGCTGCGCAAAATTACTTTCCATTGCTGCATCATCATCATCATCATCTACATATCTATATTTTCTTTTATCGTAACCAAATATTTCGCTGATATATTTACTATAATCTTCACTTTCTTCTTCTGGGCCATCATCGATAAAATCATCTAATTCAGAATCATATTCTTCATCATCGTCATATATGCGACCTAAACACAAAATAAATATTAGTCCATATTTTATAAGTCGATAATATTGAAAACAAAAATATTTATCATTTATAATATTTAGCATATACTTACGTTTGTTAGAAAATCCTGGTTTCTTAACAACTTTTCCACCTGCAATTTTGTTTTTAAGTGGTTTAACATCAGGTGGAGGAAATTGTTTCGGCTTTCCGTTTAACATATTCGCTTGTTTCGATTTATTATCTTTGGATAAAGCTTGTTTGTCTATACTTTTTGTCGAGGATAAAACTTTGTTAGAATTCTTGGCAGACAACTTGGATTCTTCTTGTTTCATTTTACTTTGCACTAATTGCATCTTTTCCTTTTCTATCGCTTTACGCATTTCTTCTAACTTACGTTTTTCTGCTTCTATTTTTTTACGTTCTTCTAATAACTCATCTTTCATAGAATTTTTCGTTACATTAGCAGTAGGTTTGCTAATAAGATTACTCTTTTCGCTTAAAATGTTATTAGATTTAGTTGGAATTCTTTTATTTTGCACCGTTGCACTAGAAGACAAATTTTTATTCTGTAGAGAAGAAGAATCTACAGAACTTTTTTCGTTCGGTTTTGTACTTTTAGACGTAAGCGATTTATTTGATTTATTTACTTCAGACGTAGTAACGTTAGTTTTTTTCGTTACATCTATTCCTCTAGCTAATAGTTCTTTTCTTTCCCTCCATTCTTTTTCTTTCATATATTCCTTCTGTTGTTTCTTAGTCATTAATCTCTCTTCCTCAACTTTTGGTTTGACTTCGATCATCACTGGTTCGTGCTGTTTTTTTTCTGCAAGTTTCAAAAGTTCTCCAAAATCCATTGGAGGTGGTAAAGGCTTCTTTTTAACCTTCACTTTTTCTTCCTTTTCTTCTTTTTCCGGCTTTTCTTGTTCCTTAGTTTTCTTTTCAGGCACTTTGTCATTATGATCATCACCTGTCGATGCTCGCTTTCTTCTTCTATGACCAAGAGAATCATCAATTTCTTGTTGTTTTAAAGCTTGCTTTACTCTATCCTGTGATAGAAAATTTCAATTAATATTACATCTACGATATTATAAATCAAAATGATATAAAAAAGAATTAATCAAGTAAAAATATATCATACCTTAGTCAGTGCAATATCTTTAGCAGTTTTTTTTCCGCTGCTACTAAAAAGAGGTTTCTCAGAAGATAAACTATTATACTTATTCATTAACTGATTATAAAATGCAGATGCCTCCTGAGAAACGTATCCATAATCATCCTCGTCTGGTTGAGAAGGGCCTATAATTTAAAGTTATTGAATAATATTTGTATAAAATATAAATCCTAAAGGAATAAAACAACAATTTATGATATATAACAATAAAGTTCCAAATATTAATAGTACACATAGTATAAAAGTAAATAGAAAAATTTGTTGATAAAAAATATGAAACTAATATATACATAGATAAAAAAAATAATGATTTTAATAAGAGATGAGAAAAAGATAATGTTTTAAATGAACGCATAAATGCTAAATTGAGTCACCTATAATTATATAAACTCACAATGACACATTACTTATTATTTTCTATACTTTCTACATCTACAATGCATTTTAATTAAAAACATTTCATAGCTTGTTACAATGATCTAGAAATGAATTGAAATTAATTTTCAAAGCTCTGTGATTTATAATTCGTAAGCTAACCTTAATCAATCCATTTGCATCTTCTGTTGTATTAATCCATGAAACTGTTCCTTGCCCATTCTGGATGAGAAAACAAGGTATCATATCGCTTCTATTAATATAATCTGTGGTCGATTTATTAAACGAAGAAATTTTCCTTAATAATAAAAAAGAATCTATGTATATATTTATCATATCGTCGTAAGCTGATTTATGAATTATCTACTGTTTTAATCTCTTATATAATATCGACTATTTGTTTTATTTGGAACTTTATTATTATTATTGATTATATTTAGGCGTTTTAATTATAATTTATCTTTACTCGTAATAATAGCAATTAATAAAACAAGATTAACACATACCTGCTATAGTAACAGCTGTATTCTCATTGTCTATTGCATCTGCTAAAACGGACTTATTTGCAGCTTTACATACTTTCAAATGTTTATTGATACGACTTTGAGCTTTGTGGTCCCGTAAGGCAAGTAAATTCTACAAAATGAAATATAATAATAATTAATGTTTTCCAATAATCAAATAAATATATATATTTTTTTTTTATTATAATATGAATTTATTAGACTTAATATTTCTAGGTTATGTTAATAATCTACTTACATCTCTTTTTCTCTTTTCTTCTAGAAGCTTCCTTTTCTCCTCTTCTTCTTTTTTAGCTAAAAATTTTTTGATATTTTCCGATAATGTTTTAGATTGTTTACTTTGTTTCTTCAACGGCGTAAACTTGGTTTGATAACATGCAACAGTCTTTGAAGAAAAAAGTAGATAAAAATTGAATTATTAAGAAATTTATAATGAATTTCTAAATATGTAAATGTGTGTGTGAATGTTCCAATACTTACTTGTTTATTAACTCCGTTCTTTTCTGCAACGCTTAACAACGTATCAAAATCCATTTTTATCCTTTCTACGACGTATTTTCAAAAAGTATCTTTTAAATATATAAAATATAAGGCATTCTATTTTATAGACAAAATTACGGTGTCTAATAGAATAGACTGGGCAGAAGAATTTTCTTCTCAACCACTATCTTTACTATCTGTTTCTAAAACTCTCTACAAGATTTTATGGAAATATACTTTCCAATTCACGTTGAAAAACCAAAATGGTATTGCACTTTAGCACTGTATTTTTTTTTTTTTTAAGTATACAGATGGTACAGTGACCACTTCACTTTTTCTTAGAACACGTCCTTATTCACCGAGAACAGGAATCGAAATGCAGCGTTGTCGTCTAAGTCACCATAAACTATAAAGTCTAAACCTTAAGCTAATTCTAAATAAGGGCGTCTGTAACATAAGCCTGTTTATAATCAGCGTTGAAATACTTCGACTATAGCGCTATCTACAAAAGTATATCGATGCAACTGACCAATCAGAGTGAAGTTAGATAACCAATGGACACCGCTAAGGAAAATTAAATTTATCCAAAAATTTACAATTTTAAATAACAGATAATTGTTGAATGATTTTAATTGATTTCTCGAATTTATCTGGAAATTTTATTAAATAATTTATATTTTTAATTATAGTTAATATTCATTCAAATAATATCTTAAATCTACCAAATATAAAATTATAATATTTAAATGATAATAAATTTGTTTAAACGTTACATAGCTCTTAACACATGTTTATTGTAAAATAATATAAAAATTCAATTTTTATTTCCACCTGATAAAAGTATACATTTTTCAAATTTATTTTAAAAATTTATTTTAAAGTATTTTTCATTTAAAAATCTAATTTAACCTTTATTTGTTTTTCTATTTATTATAAAACATATGTATTTATGTTTATATATATGATATCGTAAAAGTGGAGATATTTGGGCTTACTTTGACCGGTTATGGCAATTATTTTACTGAAACATTAAGAAAAGGTAAAATTTACAGATAGACAGATTTATACTGTTAATATATCCTAAAACTAATCATTTTTGTAAGTAGATACATTTTTTCAATGATGCAGTTATTATTATATACGTGTATCGAAATTTTCAGATTATCAAGAACCAGTTATACTGCCAAATGTTAAAGAAATTTTAGAAGAACGTTTACGTTCTAATAAAAATAGAAGTTTTAGCGAGGTTTATAATAAACTTGATCCAATCCTTGGTACTGCTGATGGTTTTTCATATGGAAGTAATCGGCGCATGCATTTGCAAAGAAAAAAAGGTTTATGGAAACCAGTTGGACCAACAAATATGTATAGAATACCAATAACAATAGCTCAAGAAATTGGATTTTGGACAGAGGATGCTTTATTATCCCAAGCAAATTGGATAAAGTCGGCAAATTATGGCAGAAGAAACAGCGAAATGACTAAGTATATTGTACACGTCATATCTATACATGTATGTATAACATATACTTTACTTTTACAGAACACTTCACAAACTAAGACTCGCCGATTCATTAGTAGCTCTTTAGGGAAATTTATTTGATTGTCGAAACAACTCTTTTCAACTTGCAAAATAACGAAATTAATATTGAAATATCTAATAATATAATTACAAATTTTTTTCGATTCAAATCCTACGTAATAAAATAAGGAATAATATGTTTTGTTATATAAGAGATTTTTTTAAAAGAGTTTTGATTAGTGTTTGAATGAATCGAAAGAATAAATGAATAAAATTAATAACTTAAAATTATTATATGGAGATTATAAATCAATTCTTATTCATGGCTGTGAAACTTGGAATACATAAAGATATTATTATTATTATTATTATATTATTATTATATATATAAGGGCAGTTTAATCTATTAAAATATCATACATTATAGATGTGCTTCAGAATTTATTTTATAAAAACATGGAAACTACATGTGTTGCACATAGTTGGATCAAATTTAGGATATTATTTTGTTGTTGGAGATGTTGCTCTAAGAATGGCTCGGCTCTAAATCGTGTTCATTTCCACAATTATATTAGGATGTGTTTATTTACGCGCACAAACATACATATGCACAAGTTGCAGCAAACACACGCATACATATTCGCTCGTGTTTACGTAGCCATCCAATCATACATCATACATTATCAAATGTCACATACATAAATTGATATTTGTTGCAAACATTTTTTATTTGTTAAATCTCATTCTTTTCGTTGTCTTTCTTTCTCACGAGAGAGCGCTCCAGTATAATCATACGGTGAACCCCTTCTGCAAGAAGAAAATTATATTTATAGACTCATTGATAGATTTATTTTGATAGATTTTATAAAATTATTATCTACCTGCTTCGGTGTCGATCCTTATCACGATGACGATCCCTACTCCGATCTCTATATGATCTATCTCTACTACGACTTCTGTAATCTCTTGATCGTCGACTTCTATCACGACTACTTGAGTGCCTAAAATGTCCTTCCCTCTCTCTATCTCGTTCACGAGGTCTATCCCTTTCACGTTCTCGAATTCTGTCTCTATCTGCATCTCTTTCTCTTTCTCTTTCTCTATACTTATCCTTACGATCTTCGTCAGACCTGTAACATGATAAATTCGAAGGGAAGTACTGATGCAATAATACACTTAAGCATCATTTTAACTTCATATTCTACTTTTTATCCAATCGAAACGTTTTGAAAATTAATTGAATTAATTACATTTCTTTTTCTTTTTCATTTTAACAAAAAGGATAAAGAACATCAAAATATTAACATAGTAAATTACTAAAAAAATATCTCAAAAATATTTTTAAATGATTTGAATCTATTTATTAAAAATTAGTAACGTGATTGTATTCATACCACGTAGACGCACCTGGCTCGCCAGTGGCTTGCTCTTTCTGCTTCTCCCCATTCAGCTTCGTTGTCTGGGATATGACGTGGTTGCTGATTTCTCATTAAATTTCCATTATCTTTTCGACCACTAGTGCTATTATTACTATATTTACCGTGACTGTTTAATGTGATAGGTGGTTTTGCATTACGAGCATTGATAGTTTGTTGTGGAAATCTTTCCGCTAGTCTGTGTTCTAATTCCTTTTGTATAGGTACAGGTATCCTTGGAAATAAAGTGGAAAACCATTCCAATTTTGTTAAAAATTGTTTTAAAATATCACCCATTTTCATAACTTGCCCACCACCCGCTTTTACATCTACTTCTTCTTCGTCTTCTAAATAATCGCTGTACCAACTGAACAAATCTGCTGGCGGTTGAGTATATCTGTTATAAAATAAATATTTCAATGAAATGATAGACATAAAAGAAAAATAATAATATAATGAGATGAGTAAATGCAATATCAACTCGATTATCCAAATTAATACGAACTGCCTTTAATTTGCTGAGGTTATGAATAAGACAAAAGAGATATCTATTTTAAATAAGTAGATATAAAACTTGGAAAAAATAAACTATTTTCTTTAAAAATAAAACTCATCCAAATAAAGAATATCTTTTAACAAGTTTAAATTAACTTGGCTCATACCATTCTCAAGTCCTCAGCTGGAACGTAACTATTAGTCGCACTGTTTTATGATTTCCTTAAATTTAAAAGATCTTCGGTAATGATACCTTTTCATCCTTTTAATAACTATTGATATTTGTATTCAGCATAGTATGTCATAGTTGTATCATAATAGAAGGAATAATTGCGACCTACTAATGATAACAACTCGATTGCAAGAGAACCCATAGACACGCATGCTGGATAATCAAGTTTATATTTTAATTATATTATTGAAAATGATTTACCTGATATACATAAAGCCCAAGGCACGTATATACGGTGAATCCAGATGATTAATTAGACCATTCAATTGCTTTCTTGTTAACCTCAATGTGAACAGTTTAAATAGAAGGCAATAAGCTGTTGAGACGATACCGCCAGCACCCACACCTCGTACCTGAATGAACCGCTAAATTTTCATCCACTATATCAGTTAATCACATTCATACTGTAATATAACATATCAACCAAGAACATGCTATTCTGCAATAGGTGATGTATTAAGTGTTCATAGTACAAATTTAATATTTTTAAATATATATATATATATTTATATGGATATAGAATAATATTTGATATGTCATATTAAAAATCTGTAAGCAATATAACCCGTTGTGAACATTTTTCAATGCAGGTTTTTACTATCAGATTTGGTTTCAATTAATACTTAGATATTTTACTTAAGATATAAGACAAGCACACACATATCTTATTATAAATTTAAATTTAATTCAATAATTATATTAATAACATAAGATAACAACAACGTTTTGAAAAAAACATACTCACGCCTCCACACATGCCAGTTTGGCCTGCCGTTTTCCTGCTTCCTTTTTCCCATGGTTCCAAATGGGAAACTTTATAATAAATTTCATCTATCACTTCATGATAAGTTTTCAATTCATACAAATTAACTTTAAAATAATGTGAAGATTGTATATTTGTCAATATTAATGGATTCAGGTTCATAGTTCTTTCGTTACCCCATAATGGCAAAACATTAGATTTTTTACCCTCCTTTTGATTCGATCTGCGTTCTTCTTCGCAACCACTGGAATTGTTCCATGGTGACCCTGCTAACAAACATCTCTTTAATCTTATCTTCATACTTTACATAATCTAAAAAATATTTAACTCATGCAATAGGTAAGTTTCATTGGCTTGTACAAAAAAGTGAGGTTAGATATATAATGTAATTTAAATTTGTTCATAAACGACTTTAATGTTAAATAATAATATCACATTATTATATTATTTAAAAGTGATATAATGCACACTTAATTTATAAATAGTAGTATTGAAAAAATAAAAATATTATTTACCGTCTGTGCCTTCTACTTCTTGCATATTTAGATTGCGAGACTCTCGAAGTCTCCACTCTTACAACCACTCTTGACCTATGAATTTTGATCTGAATTTAATATAAATATGAATTTTTAAAAGAGATTTATAAACAGATAACTTTAGTTCAGCAAATAATTAACACAACAGACTTTACTAGAAACTTTTAAGGAAACATTCAGCATGCTAGAGAGATAGAAGAACCAATATCAACGCAAATGCAATTGCAATCGCAAAGAAAAAGGAAAGAAATAATATGGCGCACCCGCATGATCGCTTGTTTTTATCGTAAACCATTTTCATTCTATTCTTAAATCACGATTTACAATTGATATTATTTAGAAAGAGAGATATGATTATTAAATAGATTTGGTCATTTTCGTTAAATCAAATATTTACTTTAATACTACTAATAATTACCTTTAATTTCTTTGTTCTTTTTCCGACATTTTCTCATAACGTGTTTTGTATCATGTAAATCAGTATTTAAAAAAGAAATATCTTAAACAGGAATCAAAGATGGCGTTTTTATATAAAATTCGTATATATTTTTAATTTTACAAAACTAAATAACCACTAGGGAAAGTTTCATTTAATTTAAAATTTTATTGACAATTTGTATAATTAATAACGAAAAGTGATAGTTAAAGTAGTCATTATAAATAATTTTTTATTGTTCGAAGGTTCTGTTGTAATTGTAAAAAAATTTATTTTCGCGATTATCTTTTACATAATTTATTTACAATATAACATTTTTAAGTTATAATATAAAAATAATATTGTAAACTATTATCATTAATTTTTATGATTTTATACAATAAAAACAATGCTAGAGCTTATTTTCTTATTTTAGATATAGCATCTTTTTTTGATATTTCAAATGCAGATTTTAGCATACAGATAGGCATAATGTCAGATTCTTGTTTATCTAAAATAACGTAACATCTAATATGAGATGAAAGAACATATGGTTTTAAATTCGGCCGTAAATCATTGACATGAAGACGAGCAGGTAAAGCAGCTAATGTACCTCTTCCTTTACCTTTCAATGCTACTAAAACGAACCATTGTGAAGTCATTACAATTTCTCCGCGCAGTAAAGTTTTAGTAGGTGGATTAACACTTTGATGAGGATTAATCTTTCTTATAATATTAGGTAATAATGTTACTTCAACAACTTCATGTATATAATTGATCCATAAAATTTTTCCCGATATTTTATCTCCCACTTTAACATTTCCAGTGTAATGATCTTTACATACGGTACCTTGCAGATTGTTTTGTAATTTTAATGTAAGACCATGTTCCGTAATCTTATCAATTTTTCCAGTAACAACTTGTCCAATACTTGCAGTTGATATAGGTCTTGTTTTATAGTAAGGATTACTTATTAATTCTTTAACCTTATTAAAGTAAAGATTAAGCAGATCGACTGGTCCCATAATTTTTTGAGCTTCATCAGCTTCTTCAGTCCATAGTTTTTCCAATGACATAGTTAAACTTAATAATTTTTCTTTTTTATTAATATTAGTAATCTTTACAAATAAGATTTGATTTACAAATAATTTGTCCAAATTAGAAATGTTTTTGTATGAAACAAAACCGTACCTATTATAATTGTTAATAGGTAGAACGACTCTAACACCATCTTGTCCAATATTTGCAACCGAACTTGGTATAGAATTTCCGACTTTAAGTTGTTTTAATTCTCTATGTTTTTCGTCCGACAAGAACGTTCTGCTTAATAATAAAGTTGGTTCAATAGCAAATACTAAAGCAGAAATAACATCACCAGGTGTAGCTTTTGATGCTAAAAGTTTGCCTATCTCAATGCATGGTGCCATATGACCTGCTGGTAAAAATCCTTCCTGAGAATATCCATCTTTATCTTTAATTTGTAATCGTATTCCATTGGAAGAAGCTTCTATAATATTCCCTTCTACCATCTGTCCAATCAATAATTCATTTCTCTTTATTATATTAATTTTACTAAATAAATTTAATTTCATTTTGCCTTCGTTTTCATTAACACTTTCAATATATACTGCTATTGTTTGTCCTATCTTGTAATTCCAGTTTACTGAAGCAGTACTTTTATCTAAATATACACATGGAAGCCAACCTTTAACATCTCCAAAAAATTTTACTAATAAACCATTTTTATTAATTTGTACAATAGTACCATGATGCCTTGAACCACATTTAGCATCATGAATATTAGATAAAATGGGCAAATCACTCCTTATCAATGATTCCTTCAATGTAAATAGTATTTTGTTATTTCCTTTATTTATATTTAGAACTCTGGCTTCAATCGATTGACCAACTTTCAATGTGTTCAAAACATTTGATTCAAAATCAGATATATGCTCTGGAGTGACAGTTCCAATTATTTTTCCTATGTTTACGGTTATATAATTATTTTCAGTATTAATCTTTTTGATTTGCACTTGTAATAAATCGCCTATGGAAAGATCAGAATCCGTAAAATGTTTTTCCTTTAATTCATCCGGTTGCATTGTACATGTATACATTTGTTCCATCCAGTTGTAAAATAATACTCTGCATTTATGCACAGAATTAGGAGTAAATTTGGCTGCTATTTTTTCAAAACTAACGCCAGTTCTATGCAAAGATACAAATCCGCGTAAATGCGAATTTAATTGTAAAACAATGCCACCAGATTCTCTAAATAAGACAGTGGCTTTTTCAACAATATCTCCTCTATTTAAATTTGCATTTTGGTTTTCTATTTCAGACCTTTTGTTTATAATTAAACTGAAGTATCCAAATTTGACTGTTGGCATAATGTACATCAATGTTCCATTTATCATCATACCTTCAGTATAAGAAGATTCATTTTTATCCACATAAATTCTATTTATGTAACCTATATTTTCTTCACCGTAAGATACTTGTAATCCATTTGATAAAATTTTTGTAATACAAAGCTGAATTTTTGTTCCAGGCGTAAGAATATTTAGAGACTCAATCTCATAATTGATAACTTTTTCAACTAATTTCTGTTTAGCTACCAAGTTAATTGTCGTAACATTGTTCGTTGTTTGCAATTCTTTGATACTACAAAAAAGCTGTTTACCTGGAACTACAAAACATACAACGATATTAATAATATTATCAATCAAATAAATATTAACTCCTTGCACTATGATTTAAAGAGCAGAGATATATGCCATATTCAGTGCTGTAATTTATGCTTATGTATGGACTGCAAAACTTATTATTAATTTCACACATTGTTGTAATGCAAGGGGTTAAAAAGTGCAATTATAAATTCCACAATTAATAATACTTACAATATTGTTTATCTGCATCCACATCCTTATTAAATATAAATGCTCTTACATCTGGAATGCCTGTATCTACGATATAACCATGATCCTCTATACTGCTAACGGTACAAGTTAATCTTATACCAGAAGCTAAATAATTAATATTAATATTTTGATTTATTAAATGTGATTCGAGAGATAATTGGATATTCCATTTTCCTTCAGCATGAGTACTTTTAACATAACATACAATATATTCTCCAATATTGTATAACTCTGTTAAAGATTTGTATTGAGATGATGAATTATCTTCTTCTTCTTTAACCAGACTATTTAACATATCATTATATGATTTATTAATAAACAATGCTTTCAATTGACCAGTTAATCCACCTGGTAATGAAACAATTATTTCATAGTCTTTAACTTCACAAATTCTCCCTAAGATTACTAAGCCTTCGCATAATATCGCATTAGATAGACGTTCAGCTGTAGAGTTTGTAAAAGCGACCAAGTCAGATTCTTTACTACGTGCATTGTCGAATTTTCTATTATCCTTAGTTTTTCTTCTTTTCTTATTTTCAGTATTTTTATATGACGACTATTAAAATATAAATTTAGATTAATCTAAGTTATAATAAAATTAAAATAGTAGTAAAGAGAAAAGCTTACTTGTTCTGAAAAACTTTTACGTTTTTCTCCTCCTCTTGGAAAATCTTGTAAGGTCATCTAAAAAATATCAAAAAAATAAGAAAATATTGTGAAAAATTATGATATTGTGATTAAATCAATCTATATAATTATAAATAAAATTATAAATAATATACCTTGATAAAAAGAAAAAGTTATCGATTATGATACTTTGAATAATGGATAAAGATACGTAATTTATATTTCAAGTAAAACTGACACAATTCACAAAAAAGTATATACTTAATTGTTAAGTACTAGTTTAAAAAATTAAATTATTAGGTTGTTAATCAACGAATATAAACGTTTTCAATATTAATCATAGTAGCACGTGTTCAATTACACTGATCAGACGAAAATATTTCTAATCGTTTTTGCCGTTAAGTCTTTCGATGTCGCTAGTGTTTCGATTGGCGTCCTCTGATGACCAAATTTTATACTAAATGTAACTATAAATAGCACGAAACCGGATCGCATATCGAAATAAAAGAACGAAAGAAAATATAATTTGTTTAAATAATTTACTTAAAAAATATCAGAATAACATTGGATATAATACGTCTAAAGGTTTTGTATATTTTGTAAAAATTGTAATTGCAATCACAATAAAAAAGGAAAGAAATAATATGGCGCATCCACAACTATTTTCATTTTCTTCTTTAATCACGATTTACAATCGATATTATTTCTAAAGAGATATGATTATTAAATAGATTTTGTCGTTTGCGTTAAATCCAATATTTATTTTAAAACTGTTAACAATTATCTTTAATTTCTTTGTTCTTCTTTCGGTATTTTCTCATAACGCCTTCCGTTTCATGTAAATCAACTTTTAGGAAAGAAATACCCTAAACAGGATTCAAAAATGGCGTTTTTTAAATTTGTACATATTTTTAATTTTACAAAACTAAATAACCACTAGGGAAAGTTTAATTTAATTTAAAATTTTATTGACAATTTGTATAATTAATAACGAAAAGTGATAGTCAAAGTAGTCATTATAAATTATTTTATTATTGTTCAAAGATTTTGTTGTACTTGTAAAAAAGTTTACTTTTACATTATTTACACTATGTATTTACAATATAACATTTTAAAATTATATTAGAATAATATTATAAACTTATAATAATTAATTTATACGTTCATTACATTGATTTTCTATATATTCTGTAGCAATACGTTGTACACGCTGCACGTCTTCTGAGGTGCCATGTTTTTCTTCGAAGGAAATAAATTTCTTAAAAAGTGTTTTCATTTTTTTAGGTGGTAATTTTTGGACGATTGCCCTTTCTAAAACTTTCCTGTAAAAAGATACATATACACTTAAGTTTTTAAACACACACATATTTTTAAGATTTTATTCGATGATTTTTCAAGGGGAATATAAAATATTACCTTGCAATTAAAATTTCTCCTGACTTTACCAACGAATCTACATATGATGACCATATGTCTACGCGTTTGGGATATGAGCTTAAAATTTGCTCGAACAACGTTTGCGATCTTTCCTTGTCTCCAAATTGATTTTCAAGATTCGCAAAACGTACCATAATGTTGACATCTAAAAATAGTGTGTTAAATTAAACATAATTAAATTAAATGTTACAAGTAAATTTATTGTAAAGCATTTAATGATTACTTACGTTCCGAAGGCTGTAAAGATTGTAATGCTCGTTGCATTATTTGTCTAGACTTATCTTTCAAACCAAGTTTTAATAATGCACTGCCGCATTCCACCCATACTTGTGGATTTTGTTTAAATTTTACTATAAAAGTATTAACTAATTTTTGTAATTCAAATTGACGTTTTGATTCAACATGTACCGTTAACATGTGCGTATAAATTTTCAAAGCATCGTTGCTTTTTACAGCTTCTTGGAAAACGTCATTGAGAGTTTCAGATGTACCAAACTTGGATTCTAAATTCAACCATGCATTCCATACATTTAATTTCTCATTTTCTTCCCTAAAATTAATTGTTTTAATAGCTCTTTTAGCAACAGCTCTTGCTTTTTCGACTTCTGTTGCTTGCAAATGATAAGCCATATATTGCAACCAAACCAACGAGCTATCTGGACTTGCTAATACTAATCTATCAAACTGATCAACTGAATTAGGCATTTGATTGCTTGCTAAAGCTTCCTCACGTGCTCTTATTTCACGTTCCTTTTGTCGTTCTTGTTCCCTACGCTGGGCAGCATTTAATTTTTTCACTTTTGATGTTTTTTGTTTCTCTGTGTCGTCCTCGCTGTCGCTAGATGTTTCAATATCTGCTTTTAATTTTAAGTCTGACAGTGAATCCCAGTAAAAACCACATTGAGGTAAACTAAGTGTATTTTCATTCACTTCCTCAGTTTTATTCATATCAATAGGATTTCGATTTTTCTTTTTTAATTTTTTACTTTTACACGTATCAGATTTCTTTTCGAGTTTTCTTTTTCGTAGGGGTGTTTTTTTATTCGATTTCATAATGCCATTCATTGTTAATCAACGAATATAAACGTTTACAATTTTTACCGAATAGCACGTGTTCGATTATACTGATCAGACAAGAATATCTTTAATTGATTCTTTCGCAGTGATCCCAGAGACTTTAGTTCGTCTGATCGACACAGGGGCGTAAAATTATCGTACGAATGGGATCACATAAAATCTTTTGTTAAGTTTTTAGATGTCGCTAGTGTCTCGATTGGCGTCCTCTGATGACCAAATTTTAGACTAAATGTAACTATAAATAGCACAAAGCCGAATCACATGGCGTGAAGAAAGAACAATAAACATATAATTTGTTTAAATAGCTTATTTGAAAAGTTTTAGAACAATATTGGATGTAATATGTCTGAAGGATTTGTACATTCTATTAAAGTTCCGCGAATTTATAAATTAGCATCGAAAATTGTACGAGATGTTCAAGAAAATGGTGCTAGTTTTAAATCATTAATTTTTTCTGAAAAGCATCCTGTAAGTAAATAAATACATACAAATATATAAATAATACTTATAATATATACATATATTATATAAAGTTGTTATGAGTAATCTGAATTGAAAATTAATCAATGAAGAATTTTATACTTTGTTTATTTTATTTATACACTTTTCTTTGTACTATTAATTGTGTGGGAATTGGTAATTTAAACATATTATACATAGATTGTAAACTTCTTTCTGTAGAATGTATCTGGATTGTATGCTTTAACATCAAATACCCTACAAAAAAGTGATCAATTAAATCAGCTTATTATTGCAACGAAAATACTTATAAATGAACCACGTTTTGATCCTTGGTTAGCAAGAGTTTTAATAACAGAACTTATTTGGGGAAAGAAACGGTTAACGAGTAATGCTAAACCCATTGAAACATTATTAAATTATGAAAGTCGTTTAAGAGATGCGTTGAAGAATATTAATGATTCTGACGTAGCTATACCTCAAAAAACAGGTAAATATACTTGGACATTTCATATTATCAAAAGTGCATGTTTTTTGCAGAATTGGGAGATACTTCTACATTGACTTCAATGACATTAAAAAAGTTTCTACCAAGCATCTTGGAAAAGTCTTAATAATTTTATCAAAGATTGGAGACCTTAGAAAAAATAAAACAAAAAAAGAAGCTTATTATTGCATATACACAAATCAAGAGAAAGGAGTTATTTATGATATTATTCGTTTTATTTTAATATATTCATTATGACTCTATTCGCAACATTGATAACATTTTTTTTATATAGTACTGCGATGTTTACATTGCCTTTTGCTGCATTTTTTGGCGTACAGCACTTTATGACTACCGAATTTCATACAGACAGATTCATCACCAATTGTGTGTCTGTAACTGCTGCTGTCATTACTGTGCATTTAATAATATTTTGTTATGTTTATAAAGCCTTTCATGAACCAGATGATGATGAATCTGATGATAGTATCACTATCAACAAAAATTTTAATATTAAAAAGGATTAATAATATCTATATATATATATATATATTAAAGAAATAAAATTAATAAAAATCATACTTTTATTTAACAATTTATATCCGTAATATATATTAAATTATAAATTATTATTTTTATTCTACTTACTATATTTCGTATATTATGCCTTTAATATTATGTTAAGATGCTATGTTTACTTAGAAAAACAAAATTTCAAGTTAAATCTTATAAATGAAAATAAATGCAGATTTAATAATTAATCATGAGTATTGTTTGATATCCATCTAATATTAAAATTATAGAAATTAGAATTTCTTATCACTTTGAATTTCTTTTTTCAGTGTCAAAACCAAGATATGTGCGTGTAAATACTTTATTATTATCAGTTCAAGAAGCTATAGAAAATTTTGAATACGAAGGATGGTCTTTATTGCTCGATTATACGGATTATTCATCTTATTTGAAATTAATATCCAATTTGTCAGAACCGTATTTTACTAAAGATTATCACGTACCTGAATTACTTGTTTTTCCATATGGTACATCATTTTTTAATCATCCGAGTTATACAAATGGAAAAGTGTTATTGCAAGATAAGGTATTACTTATATTTCTTTTAAATAATCTTATTATTTTGTAAGTAAATATTATAGTATATTTTTTATATTTATCTCAGGCGAGTTGTCTCCCATCGTTTATTCTTAATCCACCAATTGGATCTGTTGTTTTGGATATGTGTGCATCTCCAGGAATGAAAACCTCGCATTTAGCTGCGATATTACAAAATCAAGGGTAATGCACTCTCAATCTTATTTAATTGCAGTTACTCGTAAAGCTCAATGGATTTTACTTAATTACATAATAATTTATTTTTATTAGAACTATTTATGCGGTTGAAATTGAAAACAGAAGATATCAAACACTATCCGAATTATTAAAAACAACTAATTCTAACTGTGTTCGTACTATAAATAAAGATGCTTTGTGCCTTGATCCAAGTCAATGCCCAGACGTCGAATATATTTTAGTTGATCCTAGTTGTTCTGGTTCAGGTAATAATTAAAAATTTTTTAATGAAATTTCAAAATTAAAATAAGATAATTTATCTATAATTTTTAATTACTTACTTTACAATCCAGGTATTATCGATAGACCAAAAATGGGTAAAAAGGATGTTAAAGATGAAAGACGTTTAAAAAGTTTACAATCATTCCAAGTATTTCTTTTACGACATGCTCTATTAAACTTTCCAACCGTAAAAAAAGTTGTTTACAGTACTTGTTCGTTAAATCGAGAAGAAAACGAAGATGTGATAGATGAAATTTTAACTAACATTGGAGATGCATATAAACTTGTATCTATTAAAAAATATCTTAAAAAAGATTGGTTAAATTACAGTTCGAAGGATAGTAATTGCAAAAACAAATGCATTTATGCTAAACCTGAAGTAGATTTATGTAATGGTTTCTTTGTTGCTCTGTTTAAAAGAAATTTTGACGTTCCTTTACCATTATATACTCCTCGAATGCATGACACGAGTATAGGAACAGAAAATACAAATTTCAATGAAAATAAAGAAATTAATAATCAGGAGAATAATGAAAATCAGAATAACAATTCATCGTCTAATTGCAAGAAAAAAAAGAAACGTAAGAAAAGAAAGCGCGCAGATGATACTGAGAAAAAACGAGAGGAAGGAAATGTTAATCCCGAAGAAATTAATGACAAAGAAGAAGATTATGTAATTATTTCTGAGGAGTCGTCAAAAAGAAAACATGAAAGTGCTTCTAAAAGTACTACAAAGAAATTAAAAACATAAATAATATACCAAATGTTATATAGAAACTATTATAACATTAAAAAATAAAGATATAACTCATTCGAGACGAAGATTTTTTTCGAACACGATCCCCAGGAGCGAAATTTTTTTTTCTTTATATTATTCATTTTTAATAAAAAAACATATTTACTATGGAAATCATCCAATTCGTAGATGAATTCACATAAATAAGGTCATTGGACACCGGGTGTGCAACTCGCTCCTCAGAAAATTTTTATTGCGAGGAGTGGATTGAACACCATGTGTGCAATGTTAGGTAAAATGAAAATACATCATTAAAAAATTTATTTATTTCTATTTATTCACGGATGAAAATGGCGCAAAAGAAGAAAAGAAGTAAAGAAAAAAAAATTATTATCTTAAGCCTGCGTATTCATAATTTTTCTTACATGTAAGAATTCATGTAAGATGAATGGACCGGTGGTTCTCAACCATTGGTGCAAACAGTGGTTAGAATAATAATGTCTCAGCTATTCAGTTGAGATCATTAGCGTTCGACGCATGCGCCGTGGCTTTAAAGTGTCGTGCGGCTGACAATCGCTATCCTCGTCTGACAAGTGATGTTGCGCGATAATTCTCTCTCACTCTACCTTTAATTTTTACCATCTTTAACAGCCGGCAAACCTTATTTGCGGCCAGATTTAATTAGGCAATCGTATATCATAATAAACAGAAACAAATTAGTTTTAATTTGATATATAAATAATAAATGTTCATTATGAATATATAAATATATCAAAATCATACCTGTTTACACCTGACTGCGAAGAGGTGCGGTTAAGTGCGCAACGGCAATCGTGATTTTTCAAAGTCTTTATATATATTGCCATGAAGTGGATATTTTATTTAAAAACCAAGTGAGTGAATTTTTTCCCAAAAACTAATTAACAATAATTTAATTAAAATTACTAGCGGCCACATTTTGATAGAAAATCTGGTAGATATATATTCTCCTAATCATAAATATACGTAGAAATTAGGTTTTTAGCAAAAATTCGATAGGTAGACTAAACTTGCAGCCGGATTTCGGACTATTAGAATAATTGATAATTGCTCATTATTATTATTGCACACACGGCGTACAACCCCTCTTTTTGGCTCGCAAAGCAATTGCACACACAGTGTGCAATCCGTCTCGAGTGGGATAACAAATGTTAATAAAGTTATAAAATGAAACAAATTTTATTTATTTTTTATTTTATTCTGTATACGATTATCATACAGAATGTACAGTAAAAATAGATTAACCCTGCTTCTGAGCAAGTTCTTTAGCTTTAGCTTTTTCCAATTTTGCTATTCGGGCAGCAGATTTGCTACCTAATAAACCACCTCCCCAATGACGCCTGATCTCATCTTGGCGATCATTGAAGTTAGTTTTAATAGCTTCTACTATTTTAGAGAAGTTGGCTCTATCACCAGAATCAACCTATAAAACAATAATAGAATAAATTGTATAAACCATAGAACAGAATTGTCTATTACTATATTTTGTTATTATTATATTAAATGTCAGAATATATTGGATATTTTATATCATGATTTTTCATGGGATTGGCTCTTGTTTATGATCATCATATGAAAATGTGTATTTTATTGTATAATAGAATTTATGTAACATAATATTTACCTGTGTAATAGCTACAACTGTGCAGGTCTTACGCCTAACTAAACGTCCCAATCTTGCCTTGCCTTTTACGATACAATATGGAACACCCATTTTACGACATAGAGCAGGTAGGAATAATACAATCTGTTGTCAAATAAAAATTAATATTAATATACGAACAAGTAATAATACAAAATAAAAATAAATAATTATAATTAAAAGTAATTTCTCAGGGTCATATGTCATCGTGCTGATAAAACTAACATAGTCGGTTTTATTATCAGGTGAAGAAATTCTTACATCATAGAAATATATATATATAATAAAACTTATAGTGGAATATATAGTATATAAAATATTTCTATATACCTCAATTGGATCTACATCATGTGCAATAACAACTAATTGAGCTTTCTTCTGTTCCACAAGGGTAGTTACAGTATTAGTTCCACTACGTAGGACATTAGGTCTTTTAGTGGGCGTATCTTCTTTCTTGGCAACTTTCTGTTCTGCCCTAGCTTTTAGTCGCATTTTCTTCATTGCTGCAGATTCTGGACGATACCTTTCTAATATCTTGAACAACTGCGTTGCTATAATTTAATAAAATTGTATTCGTTTCATACTATTTATAATAATATTCTAAAGAAAAAAGTTTTAACAAATTTTAATAATCCATTTTTTTTCTAAAGTCAAATTGATGCATAAATAAAATGAATATATTTAAGTATGATACCTGTTTGTTTATCCAAAGTTTGGCTGAATTGATTGATCGGAGGTGGTACTTTCAATCTTTTTTGAAGAACAGCTCGCTGTCTCTGGATGCGAATATATTTGGGCCATTTGACAAAGCGGCTGAGATCACGAGCAGGTTGGATATCCTGGCCTGTAACACAGTAACAGATACTTAAATATTTTTCAAATAATAACAATAGGAATTAGTATTTACTATGAAAATAATGTAAAATAAAGAACATTTAACTTACCAATACCAAAATTTCGAGAACGTTTCTCGAAAAGAGGGTTAGTTACTTTCTTCGTTTCAACTTTTTTCACTGCTAAAGGTGCAGCAGCTACTTTCTTCCCTACCTTCTTCTTTGGCTAAAATGTTTATAGTAAACGAATACATTGTATTAATTATTAAATTAAGATTTGAACAAAAAATACTTATTTCTTATTTATATAAAAAACAATTATTTTATAAATTGTTGATGCATTTCGATATATTTTTTCATCACAATGTTGTCTGGTTATATTGGAGAAATATGAAAAGATTAAATGAGTGGAAAATTTTGATTAATTTAAAGTAAGAAAAAAATATAGGCATTTTATGATAATAAAATATTTTTACCTTCTTTTGAACCATTTTTTAAATTAAGAATTAATCGGATTTCTTCTATTAACTCAGAATATAAAACACGAGTTCTCAAGGAACATGCCACTTTCTACCATTGAAAATGTAAAAGGAATTACAGTAGTGCCATCTTGAGGATCGCTGATGCTTTTCATAATTGGTATAACTTTTAGAATACGTTGGTCATGATCGCATCTCATATTACAAATATTTTGATCGCAAATTAACAAAATATTTAATAATTCTTTAATTAGATTTCATGTTTTATTAATATTGAATATTTAATGTTTAATGTTTAATGTTAAATCATGCGAAAGTATTTGCCATATTCTCAAAAATTCTTATAGTTTTTTATATAATTTAAGAAATAAGAATAATTTAAATTTGTCAAATAAAAATATGTTAATAATATCTAAGTTATTATTATATAAGTTCTTTTTTATTAATATTTTGAATAATAACAATTTATGACAGTTGTCGTAAGATAAAAAGTGGCTCATTTGACTCCAGTTACACTATTATAGTAATGGCATATGTATTGATAGGTAGGTCCGATCGAAAAGTGATGTCGGTTAATTACGCGGCTTAATAGATAGAAGTATAAAAAAATATTATTAACATAAGTATAATTGTTGAAATGTGACATATTTTATTAGTAATGATTTTATCCAAATACATCGCGAAAGACGCGTGTTAATATATTAAATCTCATATGATATTAATATTAACGTATTCATCGTTCGTTAATACAACATTTCTAGAATTACATAAAAGATTGGTATGTATAAAAATAAAGTGTAATTAAAACCAAAATCCAATTTGACCGATTTCAGTTTTTTAAATATTGAGTTTAATCAATTATCTGTAGGCGTGAATTATTACAGAGTTGTATCGAGTCGTTTGTTTCATTAAAAATTTCTTTTAAAAATGTTTCACACATTACAACTTTCATGGAATAGCTGAGCTTAATTTCGACATCTCAAGAATTAGAGGTATGCCAGATACTTTTTTTCCATTTTTTCTTTATAAGATATTTTAATTTTTTATAAATTGTATAAGAATGTCATATCAGTATTATAATGTCTCCATAATTTTAAAAATTGAAACACATTTTCTAATATATAATTCTTGAGATAAAAATTCTATTTGTTTCCTTATAAAATAAAATTGTAATTTAAAATTTAATAAGATATTAATCATATAAGTTACATATATAATATATCAACAAATTACTTGATCCTATCCATCGATTAATACACATTAAGATATTAAATATTTAATCTGATTTTTGTTGTTTGCAGATGATTGGTCGGCGTTGTGCTCTACTCGCCCTTGGCGCACTTTTGATTCTTGTAATAACTGTAAACATTTATTTCATTCGCATAATCGTAGAGAATTCATCGCAAAAGTCACAAATCAAAAATTTACCCTTGGTAGAGGAAAATTATGTTCAAGGGCCATCGTCGTCTTTACGAAAAAATGAAAATGGCAAAGGTTCACAGAAGTCCGAAGATGTTCATGCAAAAATTAAGGAAGAGATACAAATGTTATCTTCGAAATATTTCAAACAAAATGCTAGTTATTTGATAGTCCTCGACCGGCTATTGTCCGAATTGAAAATTATGGACAATGTTGTGCACGAAGACATATGGAGTATTCCTAATAACAATGTTAGTTCTATTAATTATTATATTTCTTATCTATAGTTTGACACTTCGTTTATGATAATTTTTCATGTATAAAGATGTTGGATGCTGATAATTCACACGCAACATCGTGTGTATAGTGGCCTGATGCTCACCAGTTAATTCCACCATCGGCTCCAGAATTAGGGACTATACTTAATGCTTTGAGGAAAGCGAAAATAAAACATGCAGACAATGCTGTCCTTGGTACACAATTGAAACTTATGCTGACATTGGAGAATGGGGCAAAAGCTGTGTTTAAACCACAATGGTATTCTAGAGATACAGTTATTCAAGGACCTGTTTATTATGGAAAAGATCGTCATAACGCAGAAATCGTAGCATTTCATTTGTCTTCACTACTTGCCCTACGAAGAGTACCCCTTGCTGTTATTCGAAAACGTATGATAAATAAAATTTCATAATTTTCTTTAAGAACAAGTAAGGAATAGTTGTACTAATGATTATTATATTGTTAAATTTCAGTTGATCTTACCAATGAGGTTCGTAGACATGCAACACCAGAATTACATGCTACTATGTATCAGGAGGGTAATGATACATGTTTATATGGTGTTTGCCATTACTGTTCTTTAAACGATCCAGTTTGTGGGACTGGTAATGTTTTAGAAGGTGCATTAATATTTTGGTTACCACGTTACTTGCATCTTGTTAAACATCGACATCCATGGCAAAGAACATATAAGAAAAAAAAATTGGCAATTTGGGAAACGGATGATGCTTATTGCGAGAAGGTGATTTTTATTCATACTTATGTACATGATTGATAAATTTACGTACCTATGCAATGTTAATATATGTAAAAAATAATATATTTTTACAAGGTCAAAGAATCCAAAGCATACTCACCACAATTTTCAAGTAGGCTATTGGATTTGATAGATACTGCTGTTTTTGATTTCTTGATGGACAATGGTGATCGGCATCACTATGAATTAGCACAAAATAATTTTCATAACCCTGCTGTATTATTAATAGATAATGGGAAGAGTCTTGGTAATCCTGATATTGATCATCTTGACATTTTAGCACCTCTTTATCAATGTTGCATGTATGTATAAGAATTTTGTAAAATAATATGATAATGAACATAATATGATAAGATAGAATGAAACATTTTCTATTTTAGGATACATAAAACTACATGGGATCGTTTAAAAATGTTCAGTGGTGGTACATTAAGCTTGTCATTGGAAAAGCTTATTGCTCTTGAGACAATAATGGCCGATGTTCTTCCGCTTATATCAGATGCACATCTTACTGCTATGGATAGAAGGCTTCTTGTCATTTATAGCGTCGTTGAATACTGTATAAAGAAAAAGAAATATGTTTCTAATGTGATTCTAGATCATCGGTAATATATAGCAAGAAATAAGATATTTTATAGATTACCGTTTTTAATTTAAAATAGTAGGAAAATCTTGCTTTACAGCTATGTATAATAAATTTTATATTATATATATGCATTAGGGTGGGTCAAAAAAATGACTTATTTTTTTTTTCAAGTGCCACGGAAAAATGGGTTGCTAGACACCTTAAAACAATTTTCACCAAATATGAGCTCTTAATTTTAATAGAAAGATCCTCCGCATCGAAGTTTTTTATTTTTTTGTCAGTCCAATAGAATAAAATTCATACCTCATCATTAATTGATTGTACAGAAAAATGTTCTGGAAGAATTTTGTAGGTAATTTAATGCTCTACAAAAAAGGTATCTTATATTTTTCATCATCAAACTTCCATGTGTACTGATTTTTGTCTCTGAATATCTTTTGAACGCTTAATTTAATCGCCAAAACATACGACACCATTTTTATTGAGCAGTTAATTTCCTACAAAAATTTGTATTGCGCATCTTATAATAGTCATTTATTGTCGAGTTATAAAATACATAAACAAAAATGAAATTTGTCTAAAAATCATCAAATTTAAATCTTCAATATCATTCAAATGGTGAGGTTTATGGAAAAAATATAAGATACCTTTTTTGTAGAGCATTAAATTTCCTACAAAATTCGTCTTGAACATTTTTCTGTACAATCAATAAATAATGAGGTATGAATTTTAATCTATTGGACTGAAAAAAAAAAATAAAAAACTGCGATGCGGAGGATCTTTCTATTAAAATTAAGAGCTCATATTTGGTGAAAATTGTTTTAAGGTGTCTAGCAACCCATTTTTCCGTGGTACTTGAAAAAAAAAGTCATTTTTTTTGACCCACCCTAATATGCATATGTGTTGTATTTTTTATATGTTATATTTTTTTATATAGTAACATTGAACACATATTTAAAATCGACGATGAAATAATTTAGTTTTGTGCAATGATTGAGTAATGTGTAATAAGACGTAAAATGATTTAATGCTAGAAATCATTAGAGTTTAATGTGGTTTATTTTATGTCACAATAATTACCATTATTTGGATAAATTTTGGATGTAGCGCCGTACAGCGTATAAATACGGTACAAACGTAAAAAACCTGTTAATACGATTGTATAATCGTTAACATACTTTAAAGTTCGTGTCACAGATTGGGATCTGAGAATGTTTTCTCAGCTCGATAACATGTACAATATGTATATAGCGAATGTAGCTCGTGGTACTTGTTGGGACTTAGCAGTAAAGAGAAACTTGTGGGAGTGAAAGAGAAACTACAAATTCGGCGTAATGTTGCAGTATATGATTACTTTCCTTTCTGTTCACCACAAGAAATCTCAATAAAAGCTTATGGTACCAAACTTCGAGTCAAGTTTCCACATAAGCTCCTTTTTTCCTTTAACGTCTTCGCATAATAACCCTTATATACTTTATTTACAACATTACATGACCAGAATTACTCACATTTTTTATCGAATAATTATTATTCATTTTTTTTGTTTGTTCATAATACATATTTTAGCGCCATTATCCGCGTATGTAAGTGTATATGTGTATGTATATGTCAGGCGCATGCGTGTTACGTGTATGTATATGTATGTAAAGTGTATTAACTTGTCATGTGTACGAATGCGTATAGTCGAGAGACGTATATACGCGTGTATATTATATATAGTAACATTTTTGTTCTTTTTTAATTAAATAGAGCTTTCGTAGCAAAGTATGTATAAATAGACTATCCTCGCGCGCACGATTATCTCAAATTGCTTCGCGTTCTCGAGTGCGAAACAAATACATATATATGCTGCATCGAACCATCCGTCCATGAGATCCGTCTAAGAAAACATAGATTATAGATTACCTGAAAATAGTGGACGAGTGGAATAGCGACTTCTGCCATTCCTACATCTTCGCTTAGATCATTATTAGTCCATCTTTCTACGTTCTATGATAATACTGTATACCAGCAAAACTTTTGAGTATATCACTTTTCTTTTCTTTTTTTTTTTTATAGGCTGTACTATACGATTTTCGTATAACAAACTCGATCGTAGAAATGCATTCATTCAAAAGAAATTCGTACTTCGGTAACGGCAGCATTGAGTATTGCATTGCATAGAGATGTTATTTACGTTATTTATCTCCGCATGATCATTATTGTTCGGAAAAAACACGGAATTATATCTCTTATATACTTGTCATTTACTTATTTAATTAAATATCACACCAAAGTGCTCGACGCACGTAGAACTTAGATATAGGCCAACCATAGGTACTGAATGTATTTTTTCAATGTATACGAGAGACATTATTTTGCATGCAATTTAAATGCAGTTACTTTGAAGAATACAAAAAAAAGAATACAAAGGAAAGAAAGAATAATTAACAAAAAACAAAGGAATTGAAATTTCCTGTACGGTAGTCGTATCATACATAGTTATTGGATGGCCGAGAATATATAATAATATTGGTATGATTATACATACATTAACATCAGTAATTTTCACGTTGGAAATATGTCGCGCCAGGGTATGTTATACGACACCTTTTTTTCGTAGAAAAATTTTTCAAATCACATCGCTCACCTATCTCGGGTTCTCTGTTCAATACTCGATTACTTGACTTAATATTATTTCATAATTTTTTAATCGTCGTATGTACGATGGCGATTATCTCCTAAATATTACTCTCGAGTCGTATTTTTGATTTCGCACGACTTATCTTTCAGAGCGCAGATTCTACGCCCCTTGACGATGACGTCGAGGAACTCAAGTCCTCCGAATGTCGAGTATGAGAAGAATCGAGCGAAGTAACGGAATCGCTGTCATTGCTATGTGTACTTGTATAATTAGCTGCTTCCTGAAGTCTCATCAGCATGTTCAACTGTAAAAGAGGAAAATTAGGTACGTTTTATAGAAAGGCAAAGAGAGTTGTTTCAAGCAAGAAGTGGTTTGAAGAATACAGAATACTAACAAGAGGATCTCCTTCGGTGTCGCTGTGTGTACTTCCGAGGCTCTTTACACTAGACGCACCTACGCCTGAGGTATGACCAGAGGTAACGACGTCATAACCAACGTCCTCGGGCCTTAAACGAAGAAGAGCATCACTACCACCGTGTACAGCGTGTGTCGAGATCCACGGATAACTGGAGGTAATAAATTGTGCAGGATCTTCCCATGTGGATTCGCCATTTCCACTCCCACTTGCGCGTCTTCCATACAACGTTAGGCCTTCTCTGACAGCCTCAACCAGATACGGTATTACAGAATAGTTCCACAAATCCGTGAACCAAACTTGAGAACCTGCCACTTCCATAGGGCAAGAAAGAAAGAGTCGAGGACCTAAAAAAAGATTGTTTTTTTATGGTATAATAAGGAAAATTTTCGAATAATGATCCTATAAGTTATTTTCTTACCTATCGTTACATCGGAACTGCTGTGCGTTTCTAGGAACTTATTAAGATGTAGCCAGACGCGTGGTAGCCATTCGACAACGGCGGCCATTTCTGCGTTTCTCGTGCCACCTGATTCACGTAACTCGTGTTCGAGTAGCTTTCGCCTGAGGTAACGGCCCAAAAATCCCTTAACCGGTTCCATGTGATTGGCGCATAGTACCCACCTGAAAAAGGTAGAAAAGCATATGCGTAAATTGCTTATGTTCTTGCAGACAAATAAGGCAACTTGAAATATGAGAAGCTTATGCTTTCATGTACCTAAAATTATGATGTAATTGAAGATTTGTGGTACTACAAGTAGCCTGACTCATGGTTCCAATGATTGCTGGACAGGATGAGTGTCTGGTACCGAGAAGACCACTGAAAAGTTCACCAAGAGAGGCGGCATGTTGAAGATTCTCCAAAATGATTACTCTCGGTAATTCATCGGCTGCGTTTGAGTCGCATCTTTCAGCGATATGAGCGAGGTATTGTTTAAGTTCTTTGCTTGATTTGTGGTCAACTATGAAGGTGGCTACGGCAGCCGCGTCTTTCGAGTCTGTATCTGCATCTACGAGAGCGTGAGCCAGTTTCCCTGCCAGGTAACTTTTACCGGTACCGCTAGGTCCACAAAGAATAACTCTGCGATGTTCCGTTAAGAGAGATATTAGTCGTTGAACAATAGAACGTGGTATTAAAGTGTCGATAGCGAGCCAAGAGTAACCAGAGAGCACCAGATAAATTGTTTTCACGTGTCCTATTAAATAACCGCACGGTAGTAATTCCGGATGTTGAGAATCCGTCGTACACCTGTTAAAAGAAATAATATTTATATACCTATAAATTATATGTACATAAATTAAAATTGCTTCGAGTTGTTTGCTCATAACTAGACAAAATGAAAGAGACTTAGCTAACCTTGAAGCTTCACCAAGATGATAAGCGGCGACACAGTCAATACCAAGACCTAAATTCGTAACGGGATCAACTCTTGATACGTATTCTTTAAAACATCGTCGTACGATCGAGTCCAATGCATCCCAGCTGGTTTTATTACTGATGCAAACGTTAGCGATAACACAATGCGGAGGTTCGCCGATGATGCCACTATCCGAGGTATTACTAGATATTAGATTGTAATTGAAATTTTTTTCACTCCCAAGATATACAGCTACATTAATTCTCTTTCCATCGGTGTCATGGTCTAATGCTGGCTCCGTGGTCGTAGTTGAAGTCGCTGATGGTACGACAGAATGCTCCGGTACATTGAGATCTTCTAATTGATCCGCAGTTGAACTACTCTCCCCGTTGGAAAGGGCAGCAACGCTTGAGGCTACTTCCGTCATGCTGAAACGCCTGTCGGGATCGCTCGGGAGAGACGATTGCGAGGATGTAAGAGATTTCGATGTGACCAGCCGCTGTAGACGTTCGTTGTTTTGTTTCAAATTGAGCATTTCGTTCTGTAAAAAAGATAATTATTAATTATTAGTAGAAACGTATCTCGAAGGATTTCTCGTCAAGCACGAAGTTCTATGAAAACTTACTCTCATCTTGATGACTGTATCCTTTAGCGATTCTAATTGGTGGGCCGAGGAGAGTGCTTCCAATCTGATATCCGTGAGAACGAGATCCTTTTCTCTAAGTTGTTTCTTCAATTCGTCCACATCCTCGTCCTCCTTTTTATACAATGCAGAGCTACTCTTGCTACCGGTAAGAGGATTTTCAGCTTCTGGTGATTTTTGTCCGTTGCTCCTGGTGCCACTTTGGTTCCTCGTGTTTTCGTGTTTCGATGCCGTCGGTAATCTTGGGCTATTTGGAACGCTCAATTCTCCACTAGCACCGTCTTTGCAATCCTCGGCATCGGAAACTGAACCATGCCTGTTCTTTCGCGACCTGGAGAATGCTTTTGAAAAGGAGCTACGCAACCAACCCTTCTTCTTCTGATGACTACTACTCGCGGAACAAGCACTGCTCAAAGAATTGAGCGAAGTGACACTGTCCGCCGACAATTGTCTTGCCATTGTAGAACCTTGATGATGTCCACCATTACCACCCCCACCGGTACATCCTGTATTACCAGAATCCGAATCGCCAAGAGTATGCCGACGTCCACTATTGCCTGATCCTCCTGGTCCGTTGTTTAATCCAGCCTCCGCGCTTTGCTTTCGAAGCCTCTCGATTGTTTCCCGTAACTCTTGTAATTCGGAATCCTGTTAAATGTAAAAAAAAAAAAGGACCAAATTCTTAGTAAGACCATCAATTTCTATTTTTTTGTAATTTATTTTTTTTTTATGTAGTTTATGAGTTTTATGTAAATTATTGAACCTTTGATGATCATAAGATCGATTATCTTTTATTATTTGCGAAACTATTCTTTCCGTGAATAGGACATAATTCCTTTTTGTGACAACAGGTGCAACTATCCGAATGACTAACTAAGGAATCACTACTCCAAGAATCAGCGATACTAAATAATTGTCTCATCGACTTGGAACTTGATTCCTGTCCGAGCTTGTCCGATCTATCAAGTTCCTTCGGCATCCGTTTTTTTCCTATTCCCATCGATTCGTCAACTTTGATATTTCGATTGAAAGTCTTTACAATGCTAGGAATGAAATTTTTTTTGATCCTTGAATTATCAATTTGAAAACCTTTTTGCGATGACTTCTCGATGGCCGTCGGAATACGCTTTTTTTCGTACATTTTATCACGAAATTTTGTCGTTGACTTATTAGATCGCAATTGATTACCAAACGATCTACGCGGTAATTCGACTGTTCGATCATTATTCTTGGATTTCAATTCTTTGGATTTAATCGAAGACGACGCTATCGGAATTGAATTTTTATTCGCTGATAACGCGTTGGATTTTTTTTTGGTCGCGCTAGTTCGCGGTACATTAAGATCCATCGTTCGATCGTCGAACCATCGCAATTTACGATTCTTCAAGAGTTTTCCCTTTTTTTATGTTCTTTTTTTTCTACTTGATGCGAATTAATTAGCCAGCGTGAGTTTCCAATTTTAATCGCGTCTTACTGAGAGTAAGAGGTTATTTGCCGAGGTTACTTAACGTGTTCAATGAACAATTAAAACACAAGATTTATATCCAAAATTGTAAAGAAGTTTACCCCTTTTTTTTTAATTAACATTTTGACGAACAGAATAATATGCGATTAATTTCACATTTTTCGATGTTTACGTGACAACTTATAAATTTTGACGCCTGGCATGTTTGATATAAGAATTGCATTAAAAATTCAGACATCGATCGTACATTGTCGAAGAAAAATCAACAAACACAAAATAATAAACAAAGTTATTTCGAAAATAATATCGAGATGTTTACCTTTTTTTCAGCTGTCGCTGTGAGTTGCTGTAATCGTTGCGTCATGTTCGATAAGGACTGTTCGAAAGCTGATACAACATGTGCCTAAAACATAAAATGAAGTTTTCTTTTAGTATAATCATATTAACTGGAATTGATTAAAATGAAATAATATCGCGGATGTATATATAAATGGCGTAGGGAAAACAAGAAAAGGTTATTTCAATTGAATTCTCTCAATATATCAAGTATGCGTTTCGTTTTACTACCTCCTTGGCGTTAGAAAACTTATGCAGGACCGACGACCTGCATACATAGGTGCGTACTATACGTGGACAAGTATTCCCTGACTAAAATAATAATCAGCCAGGATATTTTACGCACGCACAGCCTTGGAAAAGAGGAAACGGCTATTGTCATTGCCATTGATTGTCGACGATACGAGGATAGGACGTTAACGTAAGGGAAACAATTGCAACGGAATACATATAATTATATTTAACAAAAGTACACAGAGAGTTATGGACTATAATCATATTTTACCAATTACCGCTGTGATTGACGAGTATAATACTGGTCACGGAGGAAAATAAACTACTATTTCTATTTAACCAATTAACTGTGGTGATCAATTTCAAAAATGTTTACCTAAATTGTATAGCAAAAGTAATGGGATATTACAAAATATATTATTCATTTATTAATGACGAGTATTATTCGTCGATAACAATGGCGGGATTTGGTATTTGCGGCAATGAACTTTCGAGTTTCTAACGCCAACTAATAATAATAATTATTATTATTCGTCGATAACACTAAACTGATTAAAAGTATCAACCGAAGAAGAACTTTTCGAGGGTAATCAAATGTTTTTGTAAATCCTATCGATACTCTTTTTGCGTATACACAATGTGCATCGAAAATGAATTCAAAGACTTCGTATCGAGGGTGATACCGTAAACGATGCGCTCTTTTCGTTTCTTCTCTCCTCCTCTTCTTTCTCTCCTTGCCTTCCCTTCTTCCCTTGTGGTGTACGACGAGCTCTCGCTGCGTTTTAGATGCGAACAAGGCATCTCACTATGCACCGCCATTCGTTTTGCTCCTATCATCGGCATCTAAGTTTTTGCTGAAGGTTTCCGGTCCAGTTTTTAGTACTATTCGACGACTCGCTTCTCGGCTTTCATTAAGCTCCGTATAAAATAAGACAAACACAACTTTCTCCCCACGATCTTGTTGTGTGTGGACGCGATAAGCATTCGAAAACGAATCTCCAAACATATTATAATCGAATTATTTTTTTATTTCTTTTTTATAAAAGACCGATCAAAATTCTACAATCATTTTATTAAAATCTAATTCACAATCTCCAAGGTATAATCACTTTTTAAAATAACAAGTTCGAAATTAATGTATATAAAACTAAGCTTGTAGTTTGATATGGACATTTGTTTCGATGATTATGATAATCGAAATTTCATAAAAATGTTTGTAGTATCAAATATATATATTTGTAAACCAATACGATTTTTCCGGTCAATCTCCATTACTTGAGCTTTAAATATTTTTATTTAAAGAATATTAATTACACAGTTCGAATTCGATAGTAAATTTTTCATGTGAATATGTCACTTGAATAAAAATAAATGGAATTGTAAAAACTAGATCAGGATTGCGTTAAGAGTCCTTGAGTTAGTCTTCAATTCACAATGCAAATATCTACGCGAAAAGAGAATCGACAGCTTTTATGCAATACTAAAGAAACATTTGTTTAGCGAGATGAATTATGTATAGTTTGATATCGATTGACCTTAACGTATAAAACTTTTACTAGAATAAAAAATAAAATGGAGTATTACGGAATGATAACGAGTAAGATTAACGTTCATGGAATTCTGAAAAAAGATCGTTCGTACCCTCCGTTTCAGAGACGCATCATGCGAACTTGGTATAATCCTTGAAGCGTTACGAGTCGAGTTAAGAAACAAACTGTTGCTGCTGCTGTTACTTTTAAGTTCCAACAGTTCCCAGGCCGTGAAACTACGATTCTCCTTCATAACGCAATACGTTATGGAATCTCCCTTTATATATATACATACATATAAGAACTTCGGTTTAAACGGGGGAAATTATATACAGGAAATGATATTCCAGGGTGTACAAAAACTTCGTGCGAAATGCAATTAAAATAATTCTAATAAAAATGTATAGATGGTTTCGAAAAGAGCTTATGCGAATAAACAAGTTGAAATATCAAACAGTGAGATATACATTTGAAAAAAAAAATAAGGAAAAAGAAGAGAAGGAAATATATAAATATACAGAATGGAATAGAAAAAGAGAAGAAGGTAGAAAAATAGCAAAATAATGGTAAAGAAATCTTTCTCGTTCCTTTTTCTAAAGGACAATTCAAAAGGGATAGAGCGAGGTTGAAACGTTTTAAGGTTTGACTTGTCTTTTCTTTCTACCACACCTTATGTAGTTAGATTCAAATCTAAAGTTTTTCTTAGAAAGATTGCCAGACAGGTTCCTTTTGACGAGGGAAAATTTGAAGCGGAGAGAATCGGTAGAAATATCATCCAAGTTTTCTCAAGTGGTAAACCTATTTTAAGTTTCTTCTTTCCTTTTATATATATATATATATATATATATATATATGTATGTGTGTGTGTGTGTTTTTACGACGACTAGAAAATTGTTTTATTTTTAAATCAAATTGATTAAACAGAATCATTTAAAATCATATTTCGTGCAATTGAAACATTTAAAGAAGTCTTTCTCTAGTTACCGTTAGAAAATCCTTTGATAGATCATAACAAACACATAAAATGATATAAACTTGGCCGACTACAAATGGGTCCCAGTTTTCTCGTTTACCTGAAGAGAAGGACAACTCCGATGTCTGTACTTCCTCGTAGCAAGTTCCCACCAGGGTATCACGTTATCCGTACTCCGTGGCTTAACCGGATCGCTAACGGCGTGCTCGTAAAGCGGTTCGAGCAACGTCACGTTCCCGGATAGACGCCTGGGAGAATCATTAGAAACCTGATCCCTGGATACGTTTCCTCTTCTTGGCAAGGTGGCGAAAAGTGTGTGCAAATACTTTCCAGATTCATCATTGTTCGTATCCGATTTGAAAGAATCGTGTCTCGTTCGATTGTTAAATCCAAAAATCGTAGTTGGATAAGTATCACCAATGGTTAAATTTAAACGAGATCTCTCCAGTTGTCCTTTGAGAATAACGTCAGTGGCGTCCATCGGATAGATAGAATCTCTCGTCAAAGATGAACCATCGCTGACGTCGATACTACTAGAACAGGCTCTAAAAGAAGGCTCGATCTTTTCACGTGATGTTCTGTCAAGGACATCTTCGATAGATTTGTGAAGAGATCTACTGATAATTCTTTCCTTCGGTCTTCTATACGGAAGTGTTCCATATTTGTTATTATCCAAATTCACCGGTAATGCGTCACCACATCGGGAGTACAAATTTGATAAATTTGTTCTGGCAAGTACATTAAATTCGTGCTGATTTTTCTCTACATTAGTAGTATCTAATAATAGAGTATTTTGGCAAGGTGAACGTTGGGGGATTTCAAAAGATCGATCGTCGTCAGTCGAATCATCCTTCGATTCAATTCCATCAGAAACCGATGCCGATGCCGATTCGATAGGATCTCTTTCCCTTAAGAGATAAGAGGAGGATTTTTCATTCGTAGATTCATCAATGGCATGAAGAGAATCCGTCGATTTAGTGGATGACGTCGTAGTGGATCCTGTTGAGTGCCTAGAAGTACTCGACAAAGAGGAAGATCTAATCGAAGGACTAGGTGGAATTTTCCTACGTGTACCAGATGCCGATAAATGTCGTATCGATTTTGTTATTTCGATCCTTCGGTTGCATATTGTCAACTCGTTGCTCTCATCGAGATTGTCGGGTAAATTCTCACCGAAATTTGGAGAAATCGGTGGCATCGGTACCATTCCACCTCTGTTTCGAAGATAACCACATAAATCATCTGACAGACAAAGCGTTGTCTCGTCTTTCGATATTTTATTGATTATCCCATAACTCGAATTATTCGATTTGTCCGATCTTTTATAATTATTATCGATCTCGGCTATATTTTTATTCACATCCTCGATGTATTTGACAGTGGTTCGATAAAGGTCTCCACTTTGAACGTAATTTCCATCGACAACGACGGCTCTACGATCGTGTCTGTTTCGAGAGGAAGATCCGTTGTTGGGAAGAGCATAAATAGGTTCACTTCCTTCAATATCCTTATAGATTAAACCTCCTCCTTCTACCCTTTTAAACTTGCTTCTTGTTAAACGGGAATCGTTTTTCAGTTCCTCTCGAACGATCTCAGCAACAGACTTTTTCGTACCGGATTGGACCATCTTCGATCGTGGAAGACTGCTGTTATGTCTGACGATAACACGTCTAGATGATTTCTCGTCGATAGGAATAAACGTTCTCAATGTACGTTCCTCGTTCTTATCACGATCAATTTTATCTTCAACTTTATCGTTATTATTGTTCTTGAAATTGTATCTTTTCTCATCGGCTATTACGCAAGAACGACTTCTTCGTACATTTCTCGGTTCTTTTCGTACGTTATTCTGATTGGCCAAATTTTGTCGAAATGTTTTCAATGTCGTTTGATTTGTACTCCTCGTATCATTTTTTCTCGATGGTGCTCGTAATGTTCCGTAAGTTTCGACAATCGTTCTCCCATTGTTTATCCAACGTTGATCCGAAGTTGTTCGATGAACGTCGTCATCGGTAAAATTTCTAGCCGAAATTTGAATACGCGATCCTAATGTATAAGAACCATTACCACCACCACTGTCCGCTATCAAATTTTCTTCCGAATCTGTGATCGGACGTGGTCTATTACGACCACGCGATCTTATCGTCGCATAACCATCGTGAACTTGTCTCGAGCACACCTTCAAATCCATCGTAGATGGATTAAAATCGTTCGTAAATTAACGAGTAAAGTTCTGTTCATAATTTGTTTCCTCAACTTGTACACACCAATTTTCTAAACTAATGAATAAAAAAATAAAAATTATATTTTCTTATCATCGTGTAAAATAGT